AAACTGATTCAACCCCCGGGCTCATTAATAATTTCTCTACCTCTACTATGCAGGGAGCTCTCCGGTGGTCAACCCTGTTCGCGGTGGCTTGCTGGTAAGTCTGGGCTGCCAAAAACCGGCATATTTTTTAGGATGAATACACCGGCACGAGGGATCTTGCCTTCATCATCCAAGCGGCGACATCCGAAATTGGTAGATGCAATAAGCTAAGACAACAAAGGAGAGAAAAAAGGACAATCTCAACCGAAAAAACCCCAATCTGGAGACCTCCCCACGGCGACTGGATCTGTCTCAGCACCGACGGGGCAGTGATGTCCTCACCGACGTTACAGCTACTGGAGGACTTTTAAGAAATAACGAAGGAAAATGGATAATGGTTTTGTGTCAAACCTGAGCGACTGCTCTATTTTGGATTCCGAGTTCTGGGCTACCTTCTTTGGGCTTCGCATAACATGGAGTCTGGGCTTCAAAAAGGTCCACCTACAAACAGACTCCATACAAGCGGTCAATCAAATTAATGAAAGTCAAAATACTCCCACTTCTAGTAGTATATTGTACAGGATTAGAAAAATTTTGGATTAAGAGTGGACTGTTGAAACCACTCATATTAGGAGGGAAGGAAACAAATCGGCTGATTCGTTAGCTAAATTAGGACTATCCTATCCCTCGGGGCTACATATTTTGACTACATCCCCCACAATCACCCTAGACAAAATGAAACTAGATTGGCCCGACTCAACTCCCGAATGAGTTGATTTTGTAATCTAAGCTCTGGCTTCCTCAAGTATATATATATATATATATATATATATATATATATATATATATATAAAGCACATACACGCTCTTCTATCTGTTACCGTTTTTTTTCCTGAAAAAGTAAATTAGAGATGGGAATGTTGACATATATATGTCTGATACTAATGCTTGTGGGACAACATAAATTGGTAACACCATTAGGCAAAAATTTTAAAAACCATGTAATCCGATTATAATGTACATGTATCCAATTTGGGACCACCGTTTTTACTTAAAGGAGTAAAAACATTGAGGATGCCCGGAATGGGCACCCCTATTTGAGAACCTTTCACTCAACACCATGAGTTTTTTTTTTTTTTCTTTTTTTGAACTACTTTTTTCATTTGAAAATCCGCACAAATCATCTCGAAATGAATTCTTAGCAAAATCAGTCTTGTTTTATTGTTTTCATTCAGCAAAGGTAGCAGGCTTTTGATTACTTCACGTACATTACTATCTTAGTTAGATGGCGTTTTACTGTCCAAAAAACGTAGCGCCACCTTTTTAGTTATTTTCTTTCCAAGTCTGTTGTCAACAAATCTACATAATACTTTTCCCGAAAGAAATGACTAAATGAGTTTCTCTATATCATGTTTAAATCCATCCATTTCTTATAGTATCACGGTCTACTTCTTCTTCTTCTTCCCCGTGAAAACTACCGAAGCTTTCATTAATAGTTTCGTGGATTGCTTCTTAAACTTAATTAATTCGTTTGAGGGGGGAAAAGCGAAGCCATACTATCTAACTTTTAAAAATTTAACTAAGATAGTGACCCGCGACCATTAGATGAACCCTTAAGCGTACGCGCATGTTAACAACTTTGTCGTGAAGGACTAACATCTACATAAATTGAAATGCTCTAATTTTTTTATATATTTTTTTTTATATTGTAGGGTGTCCACTGTCGATAACAGTGACTAGTTTCCAACACTCATGATAGGCACCTCAATGGGTGGAAAAGTTGACCCAAAAATTTAAAGTTGCTCCATTTTTACAGCGAGTTTCAAATCTTCGACCTATAGCTAAGGGTGGAGGAACCTAATCTTTTATAGTGAAAATCAGTAAGAAATATTGAATGGAATATCATATTTATTTGTTAATTTTACGGTAATTTTTATAGATGATACAAATTTTCTCAGCCAAAGTTTAAGGCAATTGATAAATTGAGAGCAAATTTGTTAGTTAGAGAGCAAATTAATTAAGTTGCCTATATTACCCTTTTATATTTTTAATATGTATTCCAAATTAGTATTCACCCCCAATTTCTCCCCTTCTTTGTGATAGAGGAAAAATTTTTCACACCTCATTAATTAATATTTATTGGTCAACTTCCTATTTCATGTTCATTACAACTTTTGCTATTTATTTTAAAAATTACGGTGATTTTTCTTCCTTGCTCTGATCTAAAGCTTCCACTTAAGTTTTTCTTAAAAAAATTAAATTTTTTTCATAATCTGATTAGAATATTTTTTACAACATGATCTTGAGTTTTTCTTGCATAACAGAAATAGATATTAGACAGAGAAATTTGGGGCAATAAAAAAAATCCACTACATTAAGAATAAATTATTTTTGCATCAATGGAGGATTACATAAGTGTGTATCTTTTTTTAAAAAAAAAAAACATCAATTGGGAATTTTTTTTTGCTAACAGAAATGGAAGGTGCTTATTTCTAGGGGATTGTTTTTTTTGTTAAAAAAATTCTTATATATATATTATTAAAAAAATTTCATGCGAGATTGGAACACTTATTCCTAAATGAAAATCTTAATAAGCAGATTTAAAAAAAAAAATTGAAAACAAAAACGCAATATGGGACTTTGGAATAGGAAATAGGCCTGGAAAATTAACGCGTTAAACATGAATCATAAATAGAGAGAGAGACTAATAAGGATGCATCAAAACATTTAAAAGGGTAATATAGGTAATTAGGAAAAAATTGCTCTTTTTTTATAACTTTTGTGCTCTCAATTTATCAACACCCAAATTTTAAGGTTTTAATTTTCAGCATAGATAAATGATTTGATATTAGCAATCCATTTAAAATAATTTGATTCGATGTATTTATTTCTTGGAGTTCATTTAATAATAAGTCATGGTAATAGATAACATGTAAAATTAGATTTTTATCATGTGCTCTCTCTCTCTCTCTCTCTCTCTCTCTCTCTCTCTCTCTCTCTTTCTTTGTGGGTACAATAGAAGAGATGACTCTTTCTTTTCAATTTAAATCACTAAGATCATCGTCGGCTGAGAATCCTTGGAATGGCGTGTTTTTATCCAACTGCAAGATATCCGCCAAACTCAATAACAAGAAAGTATCCACTTTGACCTTTTCATTTTTTATTTTTCATTTTTTATTCTCTTGACTCTATATATATATATATATATATATATATATATATTCCTAGTTGATTGTTAGGCGGAAAAACAAAAAAGGCCAAACAAAAACAGTTGGATGATCGGAACGGGTTTCATACCAAAAAGTATGCTCCATTGTCTTACTATCAAATGGAAGAGTCTTCTGTAGACTGGACTAATCTTCCTGTGGGAATTCAGGATGCGATTCTAACAAGGTTGTTCAATGTTTGTGATTACATCCGGTTCCGGGCAGTTTGCAAGTCATGGAAATCCATTGCTCTGAATCAAAAACCAAAACGAATTGCAACAATGCATCAACAGCCGCCGATGCTTAATATTGATAGCCAAGAAAGAAATACACGACAAGAGCAATTCATCCAAATTTCACCCTTCCAAACTGTACAGCATCAGCGAAGGTAAAACCTATTACAATCATGAAATCCAACTCCCGCATATGAATCGTTATTCTCCTCGTTTCTTCTTAGGTTCTTCCAATGGTTGGTTGATCATCAACATGGATTAACAAAAATCCACCGTCAACCCTATGAATAACGGATTCATTAATGTGAAGCTTATGAATCCCTTTACCGGAAACATCATCAAACTTGATGGCGTTGTACCAAATTGCGGTACTCAATCGGTTGTTTTAACGAAAGCTGATTTGTCTTGCAATCCAACAACATGTCCAGATGATTTCTTCATCGGGGCAATTTTTTGGCTTGAGATCTACGGAGACACCCGGCGTGTAGGCTTCATGAAAGCAGGCCAAAATGTTGGACGTTTCCGAAACTTACAAGGCCGTATTATAATGTTGGTGTGATTTGTGACATTATTTTTTCCACGACGAATTGCTTTATGTGTTGATGGATAATTACTGGCTTCTGGGAATTAACTACAAGAGCAATCAGCCAGTTGTCGAGAAGGTGGTCGAATGGAAGAGTAGAGTTCCATGTGCTCGCGACTATACAATGTATTGGCGAGGTGTGACTTATTTGGTGGGAGCTTCCAACGGAGACCTATTAATTGTGGCTCAAATTCTTCGTTTACAGTTCCCCTACGTCGAAAATGTGGGGATTTTTTTGAGGTTCACAAGATGGCCAAGAAGAAGATGATGATTGGAAAAAGCTCATCATCATCACCACATGATGATGACAGAGAGAAGGAGAAGAAGAATATAATTATGATTGGGTACGAATATTCGAGTTGGAAAACAGTGATTCCATGTTTTTGGCTGACTTTGATGAAATTTGCATTTCGGCAACTTGTGTTCCAAGTTTCAACAAGAATGACATATATTTTACAAACAGTTTCGATGCAAAGCGTAACTTGTGTTGCCGCGATAATCGTGAAATTCATCATGAAGATATTGGAGTGTTACGCTTGAACGATGAGAGCTGTAGCAAACTTCAAGGATTTAAAGACCGCCAAGATGACGATCAAGTTCCTATAATTTGGATAAGTCCAACTTTATGTTGATTTGAGTTGGGAGGATTTTAATGATATTGATATATATAGGACTAAATTTGGAGTTTTTTTTCTCAAATAACCATATTCATCAAACTATTTCAATAGATAATCTAAATTAAAAACAAATGCTTTGCTTAGCCCTTTATTATGTTGGTTTGAGTTGGAAGGATTTTAATGATATTGATATATATAGGACTAAATTTGTGCCAAACGTACTAGTCAGATTTAGTGATATAACTATATGGTGCTTTCACTTATTTGGAACGTCTTTTAGTACTTCCTCCATCCCAAAATTATGGTACAGTTTGAATTTTATTTTTAGTTCAAATGATACAAAAAATGAAATTTCCAACTGGAAAATAATTTTAGAATGGAGGGAATATCTGTGATTTATAGTATCTTGATAATATATAGAATCAATCACTTTGAAATTGGAATCATATAAAAATGAATTAATACATTTTGCACACGTATTTCAGGGGCCAGTTGGCCATGAGAACCAACCAAAGTACGTACCAGAAATCTACCCCAAATTCCCCTAATAAGGGAATTACATGCTTAAGAAACGCGAACACAATTCGACAACAATTAAAGAAAAAAGAATACAAACGAAACGACTTTGGTAGTGACAGTTGGGAAATCAATGAAATAAACAAATTAATAATTTGGTCCTTTTTTTTCTTCCTCCTTGTGCATGGTGTGGATCATTTATATATCAACGACGGGCGAGGGTGACAGCTGAGAGCAAGATCAAGAGAACAAAGATGAGTATTCCACCAAAAGAACCGATCAAAGATCCCGAAATCCGTTCGCAAAATGAGTTGAACTGCTGGCAAATTGCAAACCAGTTAGCCCTAGTGTTGCCCTTGTGTGCGAGATACACAATAGCCGCCGCCGCTGATGCTCCGGCCGTCAGAAGTGCCAGCATTCCCTATATAACATCACGTTCAATACAAAACATTAATTTTTAAGTAACAATCGTTAATCATAATTCGCTTTCATGTTCTGTACATACATGTACATTTTTAAAAGCGTATCAAACATTTCACGCGATATTTAATTTCACATAATAACATATCTGAATAATATAGATATAGTTACCGCGTCAAAAAAGATCAAGGCGATCCTACTGCCTTGAGCCCGGCTCTTCATGATGTGGAAGATGGATAATCCCAGAGAAAGAACCAAATATGCGGCCACTACCGAGTTTGCTACCACGAAAAACCTGCATGTGATTGATGTTATGTATTTCCACTTTTATTTTATTTTTTTTTTAAAAAAAAGATTGTTATATAACAACGTCTATAATTAAGTAGCTAGTAGTACTTGCATAGCAATTAAACTAATTTTGATATGTACAGTATCATGAATAGTTAAATCGCAAGTAAAGTAACAAAATAACGTAAGACTTACGTAAAAGTTGGGAGATCGTTGTATTTGGCTCTGAACCGAATGAATTGAGTGAAAAAGGGAAGCGTCTCATTGGTGGTTCCCATAGCAATGGCACTTCCTAAGGTTGCGATAATCCCGATAACCCTAAGGAAGAAATCCACCACCGCGGCTCCTCTGTTCGCCGGACCCTTGCCGGAATGACCACCGATTTCAAGACCCTTCATTTTCTTTTCTTGATAAAAATGTTGGAACTAATATTGACTAATTAAAAAAATTATTTTGGAAAAGCTAAGGATGTATAATGTATGTAAGAATTGAAGTGTACGATGATATTCAGGGTGGCAAGAGGGATTTATATAGTATGACTTGGGGGTGATGTTTGGATCAAAATAATAATATTAAAAATAATTCCCAAAGCTGGAATGATGATGATGATTGAGCTGCGAGATGTAGTGATCAAGGCGGCTCTACTTACTAAAGTCGAATTTCGTTACCTGCCCGTACTTGCCCTCTCTTATCTATTGACACAAATCTATGTGAAAATGATTTTTGTTTTTTTTTTTTTTTGGCCTCCAACTCCACCAAACGTGGCCTAGAGCTAAATGAGCTCAAAATGTATTAATTCTCCAATGCTGATTCCGAATTAGGAAACTAGGGATACTTCCCCCACATTTGGCAAAATGTTTCTGTTAATACATTTGACTTTGTAATGTGGCCACGCGTTTTTAGTTTGAAGGTTTTCAAGGAATGAAGGAATGCATGTGGGATGTGTTGTTTCGGATTAACCTAACCCACTTTCCAACTCTTTTGGTTCCTCAATCATATATTGCCCATGCAAATTGCAAGATAAGAAGATACCTTTAAATATTTTTCTTTCCCTTGATGATGATAAGCTTCTATACTTTTCATCATATATGGTATCAACGACTGATTGTATACAGGATGTTCCTAACTTTTAAGGTCATGTACTGATGTACTCACTCTGATTTTTTATTATAGTAAAACCTCTCTAAATTAATACACTTGGGCCTCTTAAAATTTATTAATTTGTAGAGTTATTAATTTAATCGATAAATTAATAATTTATTAATTTGAAAGAGTTTTTTCAATCTTATAAGTAAGAAAAATACAAGAATTAAATATTTTTATATGAAAAAAAGTATGTTGCAGCCCTAGACATAATATTCTAAATTTTTTAATGGAACAAAAACATGATAAATTACAAACATAAATAAAAATATTTAAGTCAGAATTCAAGTTAATCTTAAAATTCAATTTATTATTTTAGGTATTTATTAATTTATGAAATTGTGGGGACCTATATTTACTTAGAAGATTTTTGAAAAATTATTATCTTATAAATTAATCAATTTTTTTAATTGTTTGCACTGGTCCAAGTTGAGACTGGAAAAAAATTACTTAATAAAAGTTATTAATTAATAGAGGATTAATTTAAGGAGATCTTACTGTATTAGTCACAACTTTACACTAATGTTAAGAAGAGTATATGACACGAAATTTGGTGGAATTTCAACTGAACTCATGATTTATTTGTTCCCGTCTAAATTAATGTTCCAAGCTTAGAACATTAACCACAACGGAGTTAAGATCTAGTCATGGATGACACAGCGATTCTCATTTTGGTGTAGGTGTGTTTTTCTAGTGCTCGGAAGTAACAAGGAAGAATCCAAGAACCAGAATGATGCCTCATTTCTGGCCTATTGAAAACTTATGAAGCCCAAGGTTTTTAAGCTTAATAACACCTTAAATCGGCTTGGTTTAAACTAGATCATGAGCCCAATCCAAAGGGTGGTAGTCTTTCACATTCTAAAATATTGCACATATAAATTTGTCCAACACCAAATGTACATTTTCAATCAATTTCGAAGAAAAAAAAAAGAGAAAATGGTTGTCCATACAGTTACATTGCAAGCGAAAAGGAAAAATACTCTAGTTTGTAGTGCCTCAGTAACGATCAAATAAAATTTCTATCATTTTGGACCCACAAGCAGATGTGTTACATAACCTCTAATTTCTCGAAATGGATCAACCTAGTACGCCCATTTTGACTTTTAAAACAAATACTTCCTTCGTCGCAAAAGTTAAATTAGACAATCTTTTTGGAACAGAAATAAGAGTTTTCAACTTCCTACTAATACAAATTTATAATACACATCAAAGAAAGAATGAAGAAGGAAATGCATATTCTCAGAGCAAGAATTTGGAGTCGGTAAAGACCAAAATGGCAGAGTTGCAAACAGATTACTTTGGAGTTGCAGCAACGAACTTAGTACCAAGAAATGCAGTTTGCCGGCATGGAAAAATTTAGACACTGTAAAATGTAGAAGTCTTCTCATTTCCAAGGAAAAGCAGACGAGGGAGAAACAGTTGAAAGGCCAAAATGTATCTCATTCAGACCACAAAGCACAAGTTCAGATGGAGTATGCCAGAGTACTAGAACATTACAAACTCAGCTAGCCATACAACCATCAGCTAAAAATTCTTGGTCTAAGGTACTTGAAGAATCAAACAAAATTGAAGAATATAAACCAAAATATTTTTTTTACCATAATAATAACATTCAGGTACTATATGTTCAACAAAGTCAATGCTTCTTACCAAATCCAGTTCCAGAAAGAAGTCTGGAGAGGAACCCTCTCTCATCTTTATTGTTGTTTGGATGGCTGAAATTTCTTATCAGAGACCAATGAGTTTCGAAATCAGGCTCATAGCCACTCTCCTGCATCGCTTTCAACACTTGTGAAGCTTTCCTCAGATTGTTTTCAGACCGATATCGATTCAACACAGCAGAATACATCTCCTTGCTTGGAACCTCACCTCTCTCACCCATTAACTGAAGCAGCTCTTCTGCTTCAGCAACTCGTCCAATCTCGCACAACTCACGAACCAGCATAGTCCAAGTAGTGTTGTTTGGAGTTAGATTTCTGCACAACATCTCGCTATGATAATCCAGAGCAGTGTCAAGCTTGCGGATTCTACAGAGACCATGAATCAAATAGTCAAAACTCGTAGAATCAAGAATACTTCCTTTCCTTGTCATTATGTTTAGAAGATCAGCTGCCTTACTTAGTTCTCCATGCTGACAGAGCTGCTTGGTAATAAAATTGTAGTCCACTTTGTCTGGGATTAGACCTTTGGAAGTTATTCGATCCAAAAACTTCAGTGCTTCTGATAATCTACCACTCATCATTAGAGCCTCAACAATGTTGATCTGAACAACCGAACCATGAACCCAACCTCTTGATTCCATTTCCTGATTTAGTTCTAAAACTTTTTCAGCCTTTCCAAAGGAAAGGAGGACACCCATCACCTTCCTCAAACAACGATTATTAGGCTTAAAACCTTTTGATATCATAGCATTGAGATACCACAAAGAATGTGAAACATCTTTAGAATTTGCAAAGCCTTCAATTATCAGATTATACGATATTCCATCAAGTTGCAATCCACTATCCTGAATCTCCTTGACTAACTTTTTTAGAAGTCCAGATTCTTGCAGTTGGCATACGTAGAACATCAAGATGTGGTATAAAGTGATACTAGGAGGGCCACAATCTCCAACCATAAGCTTCTTCAAACTCAAAGCCATGGAAAACTTTCCAGCTGCATATTCCCGTTGGACCAAACTGCGGTAACTTGAAATTGATATAGTGATATTATTTCTTATCATGACACCAAGAAGCCCTCTCAACCTCGTCGGATCACTATCTTGACTATATCCCAAAATCAGCATGTTATGCATGTCGTTGTCAGCAAGTTTTCTCTGCATTATATCCTGAAAGAAAATGAATGCTTCACCAACCATTCCCATCGTGCAAAGTCCATCTATTAAAGCTTGGTAGATTAAGACAAGACCAGAAGGATGTTTTTCTAAGCATCTCTCTTTCAGCAGAATAGCTTTATCAAAGTAACCAGACAGGCAAAGCTGACGAATTAACAGAGGAGCTGAAATTAAAGAAGGATCGAACTTCTTGGCGAATAAAGCATCCAATAAAACAAAAGCTTCACCAAGCTTTTTTTCTTTGCAAAAGCCACTCATGAGATGGTTGTACGACTCATCATCCAAGACAAGGCCGAGCTTCTGGACTTCCTTTGCTAAAACATCAGCAATGGAAGTCAGTCCTCTAGAGCACAACTTTTGAAAAAAGTCTGGAAAAGTATCCATTGGATGGTAACGGCAATCCAGTATAATAATTTCAAGCAGCTCCAAAGCTTCTTCCAGAAGTTTTGACTGGCATAAACAATCAAGAAGAGCTCTACCATCTTTTCGCTGAGGCAGCCAGTTGCCGTCTCTTGCAAGCTGCCAGCACTGGTGGAAGCTTTTCAGGTCATCTTTTTTGTATGAACTTATCAAAATACTGCTGTATGTGTCGCTATCAATTTCTAACTTCATCTGCAACATTTTATTGAATATAATCTTTGCTTTGTATGTAAATCCCCTTTTGCCGAACTTCTGAATGAGCTTATTCAGAGCTCCTATGTGAAGTTGATAAACTGGGTACGGGATATTCTCCAACAGACTATTAAGCATCTTAATGTTCATTTGGGATGTCGATAGCTTATTCACCAGTGCAGAGGCAGCAGATACAGATAACACCTGTCCCCATTGAGCCATTTCATCCACCATCTGTAGAGCAACCATAGGGTCTCCTTTTTGACAGTTCTTAAATACAAGGGAGTTGAATTCAGGAAACATTGCATCATCGAGAACCCTCGTCAAGGATTTCTCAAGTTTATCCACATCTGTTTCCAAATAGAGTCCATTTCCAAGATCATCATAAAACTGTGTTTTTGAAAATTGAGAGTCATTGTCCCTTCTAATTTTTACAACTAGTGGATTCAGCCCCAAAAAGGCTAATGCTGTAGAAAGGTGATTTTCTGGTGACAATACTGGTGTTAAGCCATGATCTTCCATTAACCCTACTACTGCTCTCACTTTACCAATTTGTTTTGCTTTCAATGCTCCTGCCAACAGAACCTTAAAAGTTGAAATCTCGGGCGTTACTCCCCAGTCCTTCATCTCCAGAAGAATGTCGAATGGTTGCTTCCACATGTCCTCTTTAAAAAGGGCGCTCATGAGAGCATTACAAGTATTTACATCAGGCTTGAGGTTTCTTGAGAGCATCTCAGAAAGTAAAATGAAACCATCTCTCAACATGCCTTCGGAAGAAGTCTGCGCAATCAGAATCCCAAAGGTTATATTGTTGGGACAAAATCCAAGTTGTTCCAACTCTTGCATAAATACATATGCTCTCTGAGAACCAAAATTTCTGCACAAAGACCGTATTGCCTTATTGCCAATTGCAACATCAGGTACTCCCCTAATTTCAACCAAGAAACTGAGGATATCATCATAATCCATTTTCTGGCAATAACCATTCACGATGGCATCAAGCACTAGATTATTAGGTTTGACACCGTACACATAACCTTTTATGGCAAGTTCCCGAGCTTCCTGAATTTTTCCATCCATACAGAGCAGCCGTTCAACATTGTCAAACATGCCATGTTCTGCTGCAGTTCTTCCCATCCCAACCTTGATCATGTCCAGAAAAGCTCCATATGCAAACTGGACTTCATTCATCTGAACTAATAAATCAATAAGAGACCTATAGCAAGAAAATGAGGGCAATAATCCTAGGGTCTTCATTCTATCATAACTCATAACAGCCCTCCCAAAATCACACTCAGCCACATACCCTTCAATCAAATCACTGAAAATTTCATGACAATCCAGCAAAACTCCTTCACCATCCAACCTCGACAACAAACATTCAGCTTGTCCAAACATCCCCACCCGAACAAGCATCTTAGCCATGGTCTTACAAGAGAGTGGAAGATGCTGAAAATCCCTATGTTGCTCACTAGCCCATTGAAAAACACCCCATAAAGATTTAACCTCTTCAAGCTCAACTCCAGATTTTGCGGAATGAAATTCAAAACCCAGTAATATATCAAGCACATCTTGAGGCCTCAAAACTGAGACCCGCCAAAACCTCCGAACAGTATCAGGGGATAAATTAGAAAGTCTCAAAAAGTAATCTTTCAGAGAAAGGCCAACCAGAGACTCACCTCTGTTGCCGTCGTTAACCCGCAAATGGGAACACTTTGCTATGACGGATTTCGCAATCCCGCGGAAGTTTTCTCTGGGCTGAGGCAAAGGCGAATCTCCGTGGCTTTGGTTATTGGCAGCAAGAGAAGTAAGGCACGGGCCACCAGAGAGCAAAAGAGAAGCTTGAGTGAAAATAGAGTGAAATTGAGGCTTTATATGAATGTGATACCAATTGAGATTGAGGCCGAAGAAGGCTTGATGCATTCCATGGCTGAAAATGATTATTCTCATCTATGTTCATTCTTCCTTCCAGCCTTTTCCAGCTTCAGAAGTCCGAAAATTTTTTTGATTTTTTCCTTTCGGCTGAGATCGATGTTTTTCTGACGAGTTTCTGTCCGATGAAGAGTATTTTTAGTGTTGGGTTTGGGCTTTTTGGTTGGACTTGTAATTCAGTTGGAACAAGTTATTTGTATAAGTTTAGGCCCAAAGTCAATTATTTTCACTATATAAAATCTTTGGAATGATTCTTGTCTTGATTAGTTTTATTGTTATTAATGAATTTTTGTGTGTGTGTGTGTGTGTGTGTGTGGGATACAATAAGGGAGACCAATGGCTAAATAAGTACTAAATATCTAAACTAAATTTAACAATCCATATGTAGTGCATATAGTTCCTTAAAAATGAGACCATCCAACTTTAGAGTCCACACGCATGTATCTCTTCCTTTTCCTTCTGACCATTGTAACAAAAGTTTTCTCAAACCAAGTTCATTAACACAACAGTTGTAAATTGAACCCTCCATTCTAGATCTTCGTAATCCAAATTTCATCACTTAGAATATCATGACTTACTTAAGAAAAATGATTATTAATTTTTGAAGTTAAATAAGCACTGTCAAGTTATATTTTCTCTTTTCTTAAATGATTGTCTGATTTGAATCTTCATTTTCGTTTAAATGGAAATATAAACAGGACAATTATTTTCAAGCTAGATGCGGTTTGCCACTAAAGATGGTCGAAAGGGCGGGGAGATATTTATTAGGTAAATAAATAGCAGAAGTAATGAATGATTCATCTTCTCGAAAGAGTTGACTTTTGAGATTCCTCTTTACAAGACCATTAATATCTTTTTCCTCTGTTCAAACTTCAAGCATCAACTAGCTATATATATATAGTCTGGCAAGAAGAGAAGGAGCCTGCGACTTCGATTGATCCATCCATCGGGGGAAAATTAAATTAAATTAAATTGAAGAATAAGAAGAAGAAGATGAATTCGAACCTGAGTTCTCTGCTGATCGGGCTGGTGGGAGCTATCATCACACTGTCTGCGTACTCACAAACGTTGGTCACGCCGACGCAGTGCATCGGAGTTGGGCTCTTGGTTCTCGTCTTTGGTCTTCTTGTCAAGGAAGGTCTCATTTCCCTTTGATTTTTTTTTTTTTTCAATTTTTGATTGGTCTTATTCTCCTCCTTTTCATTTGGTGTTGCTGATCTTTCTTTCTATATGTAACCGTTGACTTGATTTATCTTTGATCAACTCTTAGTATAATGCTTTAGTATTTGGAATCTAATAAACCAATTTCTGCTACTTTTTTTCCCCGATTTATTTCTCTATTTCATTGTTGGTTTTGTGTGTGTGTGTGTGTGTGTGTGTGTGTGTTTCTGTTATTTGGAATCTAAACCAACTCTAGTATAATGCTATAGTATTTGGAATCGATCATTAAAAAATTGCAATCATACAATTATACATAATATTTTTCCCAACTTCAAGCTACAAGTTTCAGAGAGAAGCCCAGACCTCACTCAAATTGCCTGCAGACCAGTAACAAAAAAGGTCATAACTCATAAAGGCTGAGAAAATAGCGAGGGAGGTCAGGAATTGGAATTTTGAGAGCACACACACTATTCATTTATTTACATACCTAGCCAATTAAGGTCCGACATTCGTCTCCAAATAAGAGCCATGTATGACTAAAATAAGTAGACATATGACACTTTTATTTTGAAATGCCAGGAACACTTTTAATTGTTAAGCTCCTATCATCAAAAGATCTAGCATGAAGAAAAGAAGCGAAGGTGTAGTCAAAAATGACTTGCCCGCTAAACTCGTCAACCCCCTTTTCGAACAAGTTAGCCGGCAAGTCATCCTTGGCTGCACCCTAACCTCACCTCCTTCCCTCATGCAAGATCTTTGATGAAAACTCCCATATTGATTCCAAAATATATAGACATCCATTTTTGTAAGCAACTCTAGAAGAATTTTGGGTTTCATTATAAAAATTCATGTCTGAGGAGAACAATGCAGTTTGTTGTCCCTCCAATCCCAACACAACCCACTCATTAAAATAAAAAAAAAAAAATCCAAATGATTGGAGAACTTGCCAAAAGCAGAAACTAAAACATTATGCATAGAAAAAGATTAAGCTAAGCTGGAAGTAGGGGAACCGAAGCCGCTCATTGGACAAGCAAAATGATGTAATCATAGAAAGAAGTGAGGGCATGGACGAATGAAGGATGGAAAGACAGAGGTTTGCTGATGGAGTTGTTTATAAAGAAATGAAATTAAACCCATTTTCGTGAAACTACAAAATCCCATGAATGTTATTGTTACCCCACTGTTGTGGTATTATTGCAATAGCTTCTTTAAACCCATTAACTACAACTACTATCACCTTTTTGACAGTCATGGGAGTAGTAAACTACAGAGGGGAAGTGGTACTATTACCATAGTATAGCTATAGCTACTCTCACCTCATTTATGAAGGTGACTCTTCTATTCGCAAATGGTCATTGTCCAACTTGATCGGAAAAAAGTTTTTTTTTGAGAGGGAAATGAAAAAAGGATATGTGAACTTGCAATGTTCTCATTAGAGGAACATATATAAAACCGTGAACTTCTTTCACTATCAAATTCTGAGACACCCTTTTTAATTCAAAGCAGAGATCTAGTTTCCTGCCAGAGATTTAGTGGCACTCTGGCATCTCTTCATCAGTGGGAGGTTTTGGCATTCAATTCATCCAAGTTGGGAAGAAAGTAGATTTATGGATGGAATGGGGGAAGCACCTCTTTTAATTTTGGGCAACATACAGTGGCGGAGTTAGGGGGACGAAGGGTGCGGACGTACCTGCTCAATTTTTTTAAAATTAGTGGAGATATTCTAAATTTTTAATAGAAAAGTATATATTATATAATTTTCACACCCCGTACATTGATTTCCTCGTTTATTAATAGTTTTTTTCTAAATTTGCACCCCTTGTGTTGATTTCCTAGCTCCGCCACTGGCAACATATGTAGAAAAGTACCACCAGAACTGAATTTGATGTCATCCTAAAACCTTAATAGTAATACAACGAAAGTTGATTTAGGGTTTAGAATGGATGAGTTGTTAAGATAGAAGGAAAAGTACATAGGTGTGGCATCTTAAGTTTGAAAAGACCCCATGCTTATAAAATCCTGCAACCGAGTAAATGAGTTGATAGTTACTTCTGTCAATTTGCTTGCTTATTCATGGGTCCTCTAAGAGTCATCATAGTTGCAATTTATCATTTGCCTTCTCTTGTATGATTTGAGTTTCTTAACATATGGAGTTGATAAGTAACCCATGCATTTCATGTTAATAGTTCACTTTATCGTATTATATACACTATATATGTTTCCGATTTCCCATCTTTTGTGCCCTTACAAAGAGCTCGTACTTGGACCGCAAGTACATTACTCGATTTGCCACCATCCAAGCAACCCAATGCTACTCCCAAAGGCTCATTTGGGATTATTGGCACGTTGGGTATTTCGGACGATAATGAATACACGAAATAGATAGAGCAGACATACAGAAATGCGTGGCAACATTGTTCCTTTCCTTTCCTGTTCTGCTTTCTTCTTAAATTTCTCGGTGGGCATCGCTGAATTGTGCAGCTTTACAACTTTTTTTTCAGTCTGTTATTACCAACCCAAATGAAATCTAGTACGGTCTAGCCCTAAGTCATCAACAACCGCTTGATTTTCTCAAGAACTGGAAATCTTTAACTGCAATAAATAAATACATATCATCTTTCAGACGCTTGTCACCATCAGTTTAATGTGAATAGTTAATTCTCGATTACTTCAACATTCACTTTCTTTTCTTTCATTTCGGTTGGGAAGATTACTCTCTGTCCAAAAACACTAGTGTTGCTTATTTGACTGTATTAGTTCAGCAAAAACTATACGTTCTTTTGTTTCTCTTCTTTTGTTTCCTGTCACAACTCAGTAATTCTGTGTATTCCAAGAATCAGCATTAAAACATTAGCTGAGAGACTAGAGCTGATAGTAGTTGCTTCCTGCAATGGATTGAGTATCTTGTTGTACAATAATCTACAGCATATCACATGATTTAAGTGATTAATGTTGTGAACTACATACATGTTGCACATTCACAATAATCTTTTTACAATAAAAATGCCCTTCCTCAGGCAGTCATTGCGCAAGTACAAAGAGGAGTTCGCCTGGAAACGGGCACCCAAGAGAAAAGGAAGGTTGCTACAGATCAAGAACATCAAGATGCAGGAGGCATCCGCTCAAAATCAAATTACAAAATCATATTCAGTAGTATCTAAAACAGAAGTTAAGGCAAAAGAAATGGCAAATTGCCCTATGCATTGATTTGTAGGTTAACCATTTTTCATCCTCATCCAACATAACAATCACCTGGTTACCACTACTTACTGTCATCAAGTCATGTGCAATCTGACTCATTTTTCCTCCAGACAGTCAATCCAATGTGACTGAACGGCTCCTTGCGAATAGGAGCCCATTTTACCCAGCCTTACCCTGGCTTTTCGCAAAGGGGGCCATTTCCGGTCATCTTTCCTTCTCTTGGGAAAAAAGATATTGAAAATGTGCGGGAAATTCACACATAATAGCATTAAACTAAAGAAGAAATGTAATGCTAGAAAAGAGCATGGGTTAAAGAGTGACACAAGAAATGAAAATGAAACGACAGTAGATATGAAAAGGGGCCGAAAACGGAGAACAAACAAGCAAGTCAACTACAACATCTAATACTTACATCTATAACACTGGCAAGTCTGGTAAGTGACTACTGTGCCGCGAATCGCAAGGCAAAAATTTGCTTTAATTTCTAAATTTAGACAGATTAATTATACTACTACTACAAAACACAATTAGTTCATGATTTGAGTATTTATTCTCTCCCACAACTATTGCTTCAATAGTAAACATCAATAAGCACTCAACAAAAAATTCAGGGGTGGGAAACAAAAAACAACAACAAGAAAGGAGCTGCTACCGGAATTCACCAGTAGCAGCAACCACCAATTGATGCTACAACAGAGGAAAGAATTTGTCTCCCCTCTTAGGCGCAAGCTCTGAGGCTAAGTACCACAGATTTTCAGTGGGAGCCTCACCGCATTAAGCCAGGTAACATTTATATGGTAATACAATTGAAGCAAAAATAATAGATTTGTTGGTATGCAGGAGATTACCTGAAACTTTCTGTCTGACCTGCAAATTGTGACAGACAACTTAGAGATTGCAATCAAGGATTCCTGTCTCAAACTCAGGACACTTGCCGCCACAAAATCCAAGACTTAAATAGCAAAACCCAATACATCATCCAAAAGCTGCCGGTATGAATCCAAAACTCAGTCCAGCACTTGCATATTACACAGAATGACCCCTGCGCATCTTCCAGAAGAACAATCTAATTTTCACATAATTGTACATAATTGAGTGGGAATAGTTATTAATTTACAAAGGCTTAATAGCGTAAACTTGATCATATCAGGGCGCTTGCAGCCTTGTACGAGCCAACTAAGCTTACAGCAGTGAAATATTTCCCACTGCTGATATATTTTGGAGTGCAGGCTGATAATTGTCAATAAAACGATAAATTAAAAACCAACAAGAACTTAAATCTGATCCAAAACCTGAGCACCACTATGAAAAGGAATTTTCACCTCTAAAGAAATGAAGTCAAACCAACCAAAAGAAAGTCTATAACAACAAGAAATATTCCAAGCACACAGCTGGTCTGAAAGGTCAGATCATCATATACAACAGCCAGAGAGAGAAAGAATGGATATGGAATGCTGGTTACAAAGGTTCTGGGGAGCAGAAGATTTTAAACATGGTAAATCTATTTGTCGGGACATGGCAATTTCAGTGGAAGGTAAGATCTCCAAATATTGGTCCTTCTAAATAAAAGCATCAGGGTGGGCCATGAATTTTCCAATGCTTGATTCATCTGGTCTCCAGGTTTAGGCATGAGGCTGGCTTCATAGTTCAGGCTTCAGTTATATCAGCTGTTTTGGTGGGAACGGGAGGAAACAAAGGTAAAAGAAGATTATCAGTTCTTCAAGTTGGAGTATGGCTAAAACTCAAAATATATAAGGTGATAGGATAGCCATAAGGAACTCGCACTTAAAACATATTCAGGTTAAACAGGGTTGAGGTGTTGTCAGAGAAAAGAAAATACAGCTGTACCTTAAGCCTCTATCAAACACTAGTAATAACTCTTCCTCCGGGAAACAGTATTCTGCCCAGATAACCTAGCAAGATAAGATAAGGGTTGATTAACCAAAATATTCGAATCATCAATGCACGTTCAGAGCAGTTTGCCAGTGAGATAGCCAATAAAACATTCAGGGCACGTGCCACAAGAGACTAAGGAGCAAGGAAGCAAGTCATCTTCAGAAAAATATGCCATGGGGATTTTGGAACTACTGGCACCATTATTTCTCAAGAGTACCAACATTTCATAGCTTATCCAAAAGACCTAAGAGAGGGCGCACACACAGAAAAAAGGCACAAAAATGCGGATATGAAGCAGACTCATACCCGGAACCACCAGAACGCCCAGAAGAATATCCCCCGTATGGTCCATAACCAGATCCACTAATGCCACTCTGAAAAGAGAAAAACCCAAGTGAGAAATAAGCTACACCACTTGGATGCAAGAGAGAACTTGACAATATCACTGAAATAGTTGATATTACAATCATGATATTCTGGATGCATGAAGAAGCAAAACACCCTCCCCCCGGCCACTCTTTCAGGAACACATTTTGATCAATAAACCTAAACATGTAATTTAATAATCTTGAACAGTTCCCTTTGGTTCTAAGAAATAATATAAGAAAGGAGTCTTACTGGGACATCAGCATAGTTTCCATAGCTATCACCATGTGGCAAATCACCATGACCACCGTATCCACTCGAATAAGAATGTCCACGGGCACTCCTTTTAGAATCTCTGCTATCATAACGCAATCCATCTGAACCATCTGTTGACATTGGAACATACGGAACCACAGACAAAAATGTCGAAACAGCACCCTCCCTTTCAAAGAGATTTCCCCTCAAGCGTGAAGCAACTTGCACAAGTGCTTCCTTAGCAATATCAATATCTCCAGAAATCTGTAAAAAGTTAAAGCTTAGATGACTTCAAACTAATCGGTAAAGGAAATTTCTGCAGCCAGATAACAGAATAATATCTACTTTCTACCAAATGAGAAAGTATCCAAAAGTATAGACAGCAAGAAAAAACAAGCATCAACCCCTAAGCTAAAGTAGGAAACAAATGCAAGAACAAGTATTAATAAAGCTATAACTGGAACCAAACATCTGTGTTCCTCGGGAAATATTTACCTGAACCATCTCATCATCATCAGCTGCAACTTTAGGAAGGTTCTCCTTGGTCAGAATTCGAATATTTGCTTTTGTCGCTTTCCTCATTTCAGTAATGATTGAACCCCCTTTTCCAATAAGACAGCCAATTCGAGAGGTTGGCACAAGTAATCGTGTGGTGTACGAAACAAGCCCAGAATCTCTTTCAACTTTCTCGCTGCACCTTGGTTGCAAGCGTAATGCAGCATCAATGGCTGGGGAGAACGAGTCCTCCATAAACTGACAGAAGATGAAGGAAAAGCTCAAAATTTAGTAAAAGAAGACTACAAGTCAACGCTCATAAGATTACTCATTACAGATCAAACAAATAGACAATGAAGGGCACAAAGAAGATGAAAACTTGAAACTACTATACTCTCAGAATAAAAAGAAAGATTATTCATTACCTCTTTGGCTGATATTAATATTATGCAATCGTCACCCTCAGCAGATGAGCTGTCCACCTTTATGTTAGCTCCAGATTCTTGCCTGATTTGATTAATAATCATACCACCTTTACCAATCACACCACCAATATTCGCAGTCGGACATACGAAACGAAGAGTAAACTCCTTGGAGGATGAATCATCTCTAGGAGCAGGATAAAAGGAACGTGGCCAGTCTCCACCCTCAGACTTGTATCCACCATACGGTCCAACCAGTGGAGTTAATCCCACCATTGGAGCACCAGGCGTAGCACTCATGAGCGAACCACCAGAGGGGTATGTATTTGGAACAGCAGATGAAAGCAGGTGTTGCGAACGAGAAGGATTGTCATGGAGGCGTGATGCAATCTTATAAAGAGCTTTCCTCACAACTGGAGCCTCACCAGTTATCTAGAAATCATAATAAAAGATCTCATAAACCAAAAAGATAACATCAACTCATGTAACAAAGAGACCCAAGGAAAAGAATCAGGTTTAGCGCATCACCAAGTAGATGGTTCAGTACATTTCGGGTAAAAAGCACGGGGAGGGGGAATAATCTCAAAAACTTCAGTCATTTTATTCTTTTTCTTTCCAAGGATGAAAATCGACTGTTACAAAACTTCTCCAATCCCAAATACTAGACATGGACACACATATGCAAAGAGAAGAAAGTTGAATCATAACCACAAGAGCTACAGAGAGAGGAAACAAACTGTGACTCAAAAAGAAACGCAATTTATTTACCTGAACAAGTTCGTCAGAGCTCAGTGCACAGGTAGGCAAATGATCATCCTTCAGAATGCGAATCTGCGCACCAGTGTCAGTACGAATACTTTGTACAATTTGACCACCTTTCCCAATGATACATCCAATTTGGTCAGATGGAACAAGCAGCTTTACAACAACTTGAGCAGCTTCTTCATGATCATCATCACTACCAGCCTCATCAGAGATTATTTTTTCATGTATCTTGAACAGAGCATCCATTGCAGGACAGATGCGATCATCGGAACCATCAAAATCATTAGTTTCCTCACTCGAACTGTATATGGTAACAACCCTTTCGTCACATCCCGACACTGTCTCACCAATCCTAACCTTCGATCTAGTATCAGCCCTGAGCTGCTTCACAATCTCACCACCCCTCCCAATAATGCTTCCAATTCTTTTAGCAGGACACAAGTAGCGGTAGACAGTGTCATCAGACCCAATAGAAAAAGGATCCTTGTCAGAACCAGAGTTTCTTCTTTTATTTCCCCCACCACTATCAGAATACTCATGAGAACGTTTCCCGTAGCTGTTCCTTTGACCAGCCATTCTGATATAATAACAAAAAATGGTCAACAATCACTCCAGAAGCTCAATCCGTGTCAATTACTGCTAATGACAATCTATACAGTGCAATATATGGATAAGAAAAAACTGATCCTAATGATGATCAATCCCCAGTTCCAGAAGGCTACCGGCTTTGTGAGGGTATGGGAGGAGGGACGTTTGTACATAGAAAGAGTCTGTTTCCAATTTCAAACCCATGACCAACCAGTCACAAAGCAACAACCTAAAGGTTTGGAACCAGTCACAAAAAAACCAATCTTATTGCTAAGTAAAATTAACATATTTGGTATAAAACCCAAATATCCTATCTACTATACAGTCATTAAAACTTCACTAAAACTAGCAAAGATATGAGAATGACGATATGAGAATGATGATTCAAATATTCCCATATTCAGCTATCAGACTGAGGGGGGTATACTAATTCATAAAACCAAGGAGAAATCATGATAGGGTGTTACGTTGACCATTTACTCCCAACCAGCAGAAACATCGTAAGGACAAAGAATCTAAAAAACAAAAATTTCCCAGAAAGCATAACAACAACAAGGACGTATGAAGCTCAATTATTTGAAGCAAACCACACGAGCATAAGCAGATCTGGTGATTACAAAACATTGACCCGCCAAACGCAATTCAATCCTAAAGCACAAAAATTCTTCCTCGGACGGGTAAAATCAGCTCGTTATTTGTTAGTGACATCAACCATGATGTAAAATTAACCATGAAAAAATCAAGTGAACAACCCAACAAATTCACGACAGTTACAAGAGATATGGGAAGGAGGATTACTGCGAATTCTTTTTTACCTGATGGGATTTCTGATCTTCAAGGAGTGTGGCTTTGGGGGAATGATTCAACACCAAGTTTTTGGATTTGTATCGAGCTTTTCTCTAAGTCGGGGGAACCTTGGAACACGAGAGATGATGTATATCTATAAAAATCTGGATCTTTTTTTTTTCTTCTTTTTTTTGGGGTTATGAAGAAGAAGAAGAAGACTTTATTGCCTTGCTGGGATTATGCGTTTAGGGTTTTTTGACTTCCCGGTCTTTCACAAATTTCTAATGTGCGTGGGTCGATATTTATTAACCAGTAGCCTTCCAGACAACGAATTAAAAAAAAAAAAAAAAAAAAGAAAGCAATAGTAATTCTTATTTCAGGAAAAAAAAAAAACTCCAAAAATTCGACAAGATAATTTGAAATTCATACACAGAACTGAAAACTTTAGAAGGATTATTCATACTCCCTCTGGCTCAAAATTATTGTCCAGTTTGAGACTTCACTTTTAATATAACTTGAACTAAAAATAAAAATTCAAACTGGATAAATATTTATGGGACGGAGGGAGTAATTTTTTTTATTTTCCTCACTTTCATATCATAATAATTCACTTCGTTAAACTAAATACAAATGATAAAAGATGACTATAGTGTTTTTTATTTGTTTGTTTACAGAATGTAATATTATACCTTAAGATATATTTCAACCAGTTTTTACAACAATTCTTTTTGTTATTATATAACATCAATTTCGTTTACTAAATTATTATCCTATTAATCAACACTATATCATCATAATTATTTTCCTTTTGAAGATGAAAACGATCTTTTATCCCGTGATTTTTATGTGACAACGATCATGCGATGTTTAAAACAGAAAAAAAAATATTACTTTTCATTTAGTAAAATATAAAATATTATTAAGATATTATAATTTACATGTTACTTATACTAATTATTCGTTACAAAGTAATGTGTTTATGATTTACGTACTTCAAATGGAGCTCTCTATGCATTGTATTAGAAAACTACCATTTTATATGAGTCAATTTACATATTTGGTTATGTTCGTTTTGTTATTTCAATGATAATTTATGAAAAAAATTGGTAGATCTATCCAAAAGTTTACATGCGTTGTCAATTTTATTAAATTTTTTGGTTTGTCAATGTTACCCTAATCTATCCAACCGTTAGCCGATTTTGTCATATTTGTGAATTTTTATTTAAATTAACGGAAATTCTGTTAGTTTTAATTATAAAAATACCCTAATAATTTCAAAATTATAAAAATGACTCAAAAAATTGTAAAAATAACCAAACAGTCTCTTTTTAATTTTTATTTAATTTTTTATGTTTTTTTATTTCTTTTTACTATTTCTCATAACTATAAAAATATATTATATGATATTTTTAAAAAAATATTTATTTTTATAATATTACTGTGCAAATTTATAGATATACATATTTGTAACTCATGGTTGATTTACATAAACATATTAATTTTTTAAATAATATAACTTGACAATAATGATATTATTTTTTTAATCCTTTTTTTCAATTTAAAGAATAAGATTTTTTGACTAAAAACTAATTTTTTACAAAAAATTAAAACATTTAGCATAGATAAAAAATTAATTTATTAGTACATTTTAATTTACTACAAATTAACTAAACATACTATAGATTGTATTATCCAATTCAAATAATAATTAAACTAAAATATAGGGTACATTCTAGTGTTTAGAATGTTGAGCTTCATGAAAGTAGATATAAAATTAATTCACACCAAGGATTTCTAACGGGGGGAGTGATTTTATTCACATTTAAGCATGATTGAGTTGGATTTCAGGTGATTAAGATGGGAAATGATTATAACTGTGTTCGAGGCCTCGATTCTCACTGAGGTAATTTTTTTTTAAAAAAAAGGTGGAGTCCAGTACTAGAATAGATTTTTTTATTTTTTTATTTAAAAAATTCCCTGCTAAAGTTAGATATGTTAATATCTCAAAAAATTATCGCAAGATGTTAAACCCTTGCAATGATAAATATACATATTTTTTATAAAATATTTTGTACTATTGTTGTAAATGCCACGACACTATGTTCTTGTGTTGGACCAATGTAGAAACGAAGTAGGTTTTTTTTTTTTTTTTTTACTACTTTATGTTCGTAATTGGCCTTTTAAAGAAAATTTATATTTTAGTTTATTTTTTTTTTAATTTTACAATACAATATAAATTTTGTTGAATTAAATTGTAATACATTGAAGTATACCAATAACATTTTTTTAAATCTATGCTAAATGTTTTATTTTTTTGTGCAAAATTAGTTTTAGTTAAATAATTTTATTCTTTAGATTGAAAAAAATGGACTAGAAAATAGTATGTAAACCATATTATTAAAAATTAATATGTTTATGTAAATCAAACATGACTTAAAAATATGTAATAATTATAAATTTGTACATTAGAGTTAAAAAATAAATATTTTTTTAAAAGGTCATATAATATATTTTATAGTTACAAAAAATAGTAAAAAGAAATAAAAAAAACTGAAAAATTAAATAAAAACTGAAAAAGAGACTATTTTGTTATTTTTACAAATTTTTAGGGTCATTTTTATAATTTTAAAACTATTAGGATATTTTTATAATTAAAACTAACAGAATTCCGTTAATTTAAACGAAAATTGGCAAATTGTACAAAATCGGCTAACGGTTGGATAGCTTGGCGTAATATTGGCTAACTGAAAAAGAATAGGATAGAATTGATAACGAATGTCAACCTTTGGGTAGATCGGCTAATTTTTTCATAATTTATGTGTTGTATGTGCTAATTTATCAGTTTTTATTTTTTTTAATACTCCTTTCGGTCCTTATTATACGGCATTTTGATTTGTCATAAGTTTAACCTAGTACACATTTTTAATTCAACGAACACATTTTAAAAATATATTTTTCATATTCGTTGTGTTCTCTTGATTATTATGAAATATTTTAAAGATTTTTTCGTCGATTAAAAATGTTTACTAGATTAAATTTAGGAAAAGTCAAAATACCTTATATTAAGGACCGAGGGAGTATATGTAACGATTAGAGTTATATCAACCACAAACAGTTCCTAATGGGAATTTTTGAAGGGGTATATGCATAACCCTCATGCTAATGATCTTTGTTCCATCTATGGATTTATCTTTGACCTATATGAAAAAATCGTAATCTCAAATATTATTCGCGAAAATCCTCTCACACCTTCTCAACAGGTTATAAAAACACCAGTATTTTTTATGAGTTCTCATAAAGTATTGATAAGTTTTTGCATGATTGTTCTAACTCATAATTCAATGCTAGCATGAGTTTAAAAAGACTATATTATTGGTCTTTGTGAGATCTTTCTCATCGACATTGACATCAAACAATTTGTTTCTTTTCTCCTTCTTTGTTTTTTTTTTTTTAATTTATTTTTTATTTTTTATGTATTGCGTATTTAAGGTCATAGCACATTTGCTTACTGATTATCGAGCACTTTGTATTTGTTATAATTTGTAAATAATAATTCCATATCACTTTGCATATTCTTGATTATTCAAATGATTTTCTTTTTTTTTTTTAACTTCAACTCTCACGTAATTAATTTTTTCTTTAATTTATTGAAAAAAAGAAATTAAAATACTATTGTAAATAGTTTTTTTTTTGTTATAAATTTTTTTTTTTGGCGAAATTAGGAAATATATTTTCTGATTTACTATAAGAATCCGAGAGACCACCCAACCGGCGGCCTCACGACCGATCGGTCAGATAACGCAAAGTATTAATATATTTTATTTATCCGACTCGATTGATAATCTGAAGAATTTCAATTTGCTAGGGCAATCAATTTCCTAGTTGTTAGTACCGGCTCATGGCGACGTCAGGGCAGCAGCAGTTCCGGTACACGCAAACGCCGTCGAAGGTGCTGCACCTCCGTAACCTGCCGTGGGAGTGTATCGAGGAAGAGCTTGTCGAACTCTGTAAACCTTTTGGAAAGATCGTCAATACCAAGTGCAACGTCGGTGCTAATCACAACCAAGCCTTTGTCGAATTTGTAAGTACGGTGGCTTATTTGGTTTGTTTGATTTTCCTTTTTAGCTGAATACCTCTTCATAGTTTGAGGTGGACACTGCCTGTTGAATTACCGAAGCTTTCATTGTAGCCCCAAACAAAATCAGCTGATTTTTTTAGGTTTATTCAGTATTTTAGTGTTAAGGTTGAGGTTAGTGATTACTATATAAGTTATAATAAAGGTTAATATTCACGTTTAATGAGTTAGGTTGGGGTTTGGGTTTATGTTTGTGTAAATGAATGTTGTAGGTCTTGCTAAATCACACTGCATTCGGGGAGTATGGTTGTGAACTGAATTGCAATATTAATCGTGTGATGAGATGAGTTGGGTCTCTATTACTGATAAGGCCATTCGTTGTGGTGTTTTCAGGCTGACCTTAATCAAGCTATTAACATGGTATCTTATTATTCTTCGTCATCCGAGCCTGCACAAATACGTGGAAAGACTGTTTATATACAGTATTCTAACCGACACGAAATTGTTAATAACAAGAGTCCTGGAGATGTTCCAGGCAACGTATTGCTGGTGACGATAGAGGGTGTTGAAGCTGGAGATGTCAGCATAGATGTCATTCACTTGGTAATTTCTGTCCGCAATCCGTTTTATTGAACTTTATGTTTTTCCCATTTTTACTTGGAAATTTTGCTCTGTAGAATGGCTTTCACTTTTTTATGTATGGTCTGATTAATTCTTAGTCAGTTTTTTCGTTAGACTGTGAACAGCCATGGCACCCTTCTGTAAAAAACAGTTAAACCTTTGGCCGCATTCCGCCCGTCTCTTTTCCGCCGTTCATGCCAGTGCAGATTGATATTTTTAATCTTTCCTCTGGTAGTGCTGTCTGTATAGCTGTTTGTTATATTTTCTTCTCTCTCTCCTCCACGCTTTTCAGTTGCGTATTTTGTAAATGTTGACAAGTAATCCTGTGAACTTTTGTTTTCTTTGTTTCCATGTCAGTGCTACTAATCCTTGTTCTGACTGCATTTTTGCAACTATGCTAGTGATTGTGATTTGTGAGGCATCTCTCTCTCTCTTTTTTCCCTCAGTATTGTGGTTATTCTTTGCCCTGTAGTTTGTTCTGTGTAACTTGATGCTGCTTAGTAATTCATTTACTAATATAGGTAGTTCAAAAGCTCATTGTTAACTCTTTGATTTTAGAATTTCTTTTTCCTTTTTATTTTGGCCGAGATTGGTTCACAGAGGCACTTGTTTAAACTTTAGCTGGAAAAACTGTATTTTTTGTCATGTGCTCTGAGACCTTGGTGGTCTACCTTTGCAAGTATGTGTACTGGTGCTACCTTTGCTTGGTTTTATTTATGGAAGTTCCCTTTCTGTTTTGCTATAATTGATGAACAATTATTGTTATCATAGATAGCATCCTGATAATAGTTTGTAGCCTTTTGGTTTTGTATGTTATCTTGAGCTACTTTCTTAATGTGACTTAGGTGTTCTCAGCGTTCGGATTCGTACACAAGATTGCTACTTTTGAAAAGGCTGCTGGTTTTCAGGTCTGGTCTCATAGTATTAAATCCTGTTATTAAGTGTTCACTGTTGTGCCTTTTACTGGGGAAATTTTTGAGGATAAATTTCTGAAAGGTTATCTTTCCAAACAGGCATTAATCCAGTACAGTGATTCTGAAACAGCATCTTCTGCTCGAGAGGCATTGGATGGAAGAAGTATACCCAGGCAGGCTATATTTCGGATTACCAGTTTGCTGTGTTATTTTTGTGCATTTCTGAATAAATTCAGACCATAGTTCTGTGTAATTGTGAATTGTGATTCATTCTGATTATCAACTTTTCTTCAGGTACTTGCTTCCTGAACATGTTAATCAGTGCCACCTCCGTATTTCATACTCTGCGCATACAGATCTCAACATCAAGTTTCAATCCAACCGGAGCAGGTAATATTGAATCCAAGGTCACATCAAGTTGGATCATGTTCACACCTGCTCTGCTTTAAAACCCTTGTTTTGTTAATAATATCCTGTGCTCTTTTTCTCTGGGTTCTACTCTCCATACTTGCTAATTCTTATATGTGCTTTTGTCATTTAGGGTGTTAGTGAAGCTCGGCTGCTAAAACAAAGATGTATTGTGTCATGGCCTCGTAGTAATCTCCTTGATCTTAATTTTGTTTTTTGTTCCACTCTTTTCACTTTTATTGGAATTCCTGTTTTATCTTTTTTTGCTGAGTAGATTCAGCTGCTTTCTGTCTCATTTTTATCTTGTTGTGTTAATAACTGTAGAGCTTCTTGAATTTTGTTATCTTCTGATAACAAGGTGCTCATTGTGTCTGCAATGGATTTTTTCCCTGGTTGATTGAAATCTGTGTATTGTGCTATCCAAGATGGAGTGGACTTGGAATAGCTCGGCATTTGACTCTTTTTTGAGATAGAAGGGAAAGGTGCAGATTACATTATCCCTAATACCCCCTTGCCCCAAAATTAACTAAAAATAAACAAACTCCCTCCCTCATATAGCCGACCACACTTAGTGGGGAAAAGGCTTGTTATGGTTGTATATTTGCTAAATGTTTCTGTTCGGACGTGTTTAAGATAATATGACTCGAATCAAGGGAATATCTGTTGGGATAATACTATTAGAAAATTCATGACGTATTTAAACCTAGAGTAACTTGTTGTGACAAACCACAATGCCAAACTATGCATAGGACACCACAGTGGAATAAAAGGCTTAGTTCTTGTTATGTTGCTTAGGATCTTTGGCAAATGACAGAACCACCATAGCCACTAGAAGAAGAATGTCCACGTGCACTCCTGTAAAGTTTAATACTTTAATCCATCTTTTGGTGCAAGGCTGATAGCGTCTTTTATGGTTAACACTCTAATATTCATTGTGAATTAGGCTTGTGGACCTCGGATTTGGTTGAAAATTGAAGCTTAGTGGCTAGTCCTCCCAAGACAACTTTGTTTAAGTTTAGCCTACTTTTGTTTTACTATGTTCCTTTTGCATCTCAATTCATTTGCAGTTAGCTTATCTATTGCTGTTTCCACTTGTTAATATTGTGGATCTCTTCAGTACATATTGTTTTCCCTTAGGAGCATTTCAATTTTTTGAAATTTCTCTGTAATTGTGTGGTAATCTCACAACGGTTAAAACAAGCTTTATGCTGTGTTAAATCTAGCATGATGTTACGATTTTGACTTAATAATTCTTCCTTCTTCGCTTGGGTTTTTTCTCCTAGAATTTGTGAATTGCTTGTTCAGTATATAGGTCCCAATTGCCCAATATAGGACTCCTGGAGTTTTCTAGCTCTGTTGATGGGAATTTTCAGTTTTGGTATGTGAATCTCTTCCTTTCAGTATTGATGCAATTTCTTTGGTGTTATTTGCAGGGACTATACCAATCCCTCTCTTCCTGTAAACCCTACAGCAATGGAGGGATTTGTTCAGGTTATTCTCTAGATACTAGACAGCTTTTGTTAGTTAATTTCTTGGAAACTACTAATATGTTATCAATTCAGCCTGTCGTAGGACCCGATGGCAAGAAAAAGGAGCCTGAGAGTAATGTTCTGCTTGCATCAATTGAAAACGCTCAATATGCTGTAACTGTTGATGCTCTTCAAATGGTAACCGAGATATTCCAACGATTCTTGTTTTCCTCACTTGAGTGTCTTTGAGGGGATTTTTAGGGATATTAACAACTTTTCTTCCTTCCTTTCAGGTGTTTTCAGCATACGGTACAGTGCAAAAAATCGCTATTTTTGAGAAGAATGGTGGAACACAAGCTTTAATTCAGTATCCTGGTATGTTTTCTACTGCTGGAAGACTTATCTCTGTAACTCCCTCTCAACTGGAAGGGTTTGCATTATGCTTGAGTTTTGACTAGTTGCTATTATTATTTGCATCACCTGCGATGATGTTAAAACTTGTACCTTTTGGAAGTTAAGTTGGTTTTTGTGAAAAAGCTGTCATTTATTGCAGCAAATAACTCTTCTTTGTTCTTTCCTTGAATTTGTTGACTAAAGCAGAAGGAAAGTTGACCTGTGCAGCCCACGTATTAACTTTAAATGATTCTAAACCTGCAAAGCTGTCATTTACTAATTGCATCCTTTCCTTGACTCTATTTGGTTGTTCCAATCTAGACGGTGGTGGCATAAAGTTGATAAAAAAAATTTTATTTGTGCAAATTATGGACAGTAACAGTTCCTTTCCCTGCTATTATAGGAGAATTATAGGAGAATGTTACCAATCGGAATACAGCTGTTAGTGCACTGTGATGTTGCTATATAATTATGTTGACATGAAAGTTTATTATGAAGTAGAAATGAAATTGCTGCTCAAAGTGTTTGATAATTAAGCTGCTTTTATGTGGGCTTTTTTCTTTCATATGCTTTTTTATTCTCAGCAAGCTTCGAGGACCCTCGTCGATATTAAGTCTTTTATAATGTTGAACATATTTGCACTCATAATACATGGAATATATCTTTTAATTCAATGGGTGTTTGCTTCTGCACGAACTATTTTTTATGGTTGGTGGTTATTTCACATGCAGATATTGCCACAGCAGCTGTAGCTAAGGAGTCTTTAGAAGGTCACTGCATATATGATGGTGGTTATTGTAAGCTTCATCTTACATTCTCTCGTCATACTGATCTCAATGTAAAGGTATCATGGTTATTTAAATTAGAGCTCATAGATTAACGAATGAGATGAATTGAATACAAAGGCTTCCCCATAACTTAACAATGGGTTCGGTGTCGAAGGAGTAGAGACATGTTTCTAGGTGTATACTCCTTTGCGCTTACCTTTTCGTTTTGTTTTGTGGGTAAAATTCTTTTCTCAGATTTGGATTATTGTGTATTCTTTTCAGGCATACAGTGACAAGAGTCGAGATTATACAATTCCAGAGTCAGCATTATTTGGGATGCAGCAAACTTCTGGCTTTCTGAGTACGGCCACGAGTTGGCAGAATTCTCAAGCTGCTCCACCGCCGCCGCCACCACCAGGGAGTGGTTTTGTAGCCGGGCCCCCTGTACAGGCCCAGCCGTCTAACGCGCCAGTGTCTTCTTGGGATCCGAACGTACAGCCAGGACGGCAAAGCTTTATTTCAGTACCCAGCACATTTCCTGGCCAACTTTATGCTCCAGCAGCCCCTGGTTACTCACCTCAGACAATACCAAGCGCTCCAAATGCTCCACCAATGAGAGTGACTCAGCCTATGCATCAACCAAATCTGCAGCCCGGAGGTTATCCTTATTATAGTCGTTAAATTGTACCACTTCCTGGTGGAGAAATTGTGGTTTGCGCATTGCTTTCTCTTGAACAGAGGGCGAGTCCTTGTTTCTCTACACGTATTCAGCATATATTTCCTTATAACAAAATATGATTTCGGCTGTATGATATGCTCTTTTTTTTTAATCCATAACTACTGAGAAGTACTAACTTTGGCTGTAAATCTCAGGTAAGTAATCATATTTTGATGGTAAATTGTTAAATTTTGTGGCATAAGAACTCTTGGTGGTATCCTAAATTAACTTAACAAGAGCCCGGATCAACTCATGCACATCAGAAGTCGAAAGACACACAAATGTCATATTTCAAAGAAAAAAGATAAGAGATTCTTTCTCATATTTTCAGGTTCCACATGTTAAACATAAAGTACGGGTACTCTTGTCAAAAAAAAAAGTACGGGTACTCTTGGATATTGGTAGGAGTTCGACCAAACAATGGAGATATCATGCAATTTTCACTGACACCGAATAGGAGGGACAGGTACTGCTCCAAAATCAATTTAAGTCAGTTAAACGAAATCAGCTGTAAAACCATATAAATGCCATAGTATCAAACCGATCAAATGAATACATGTTTCAGTTGCTTTGAACTGCCCAATTGTTCATCAATAAATGTCGACTAAAAAATTTGTTCCAAGTAGGAGGAATAAGAAAAGAAAACAGACCATACTAGTGGATCATAGCTTTTGGGTTGCCTCTGAAGTAGTGTTCCGCTAGTTCATCAAGATCTACAAAGCTGATGAATTCTTCTCAGTGTTTCTTTATTCATTGCTACATGATAGTTCATACATGTCATATAACATATTAGTACTACCGTGCTCGTTACTAAAAAATCACGAAACCCAAAATGACAATTAATCTGACCACTCTCCTTCTCATGTTTCCTCCTCCATCTACATAAAGTCAACTTCAAAATGACACATAATTATTGCCCCAAAAATGAAGAAGAAACTGCAGGGGTGAAAGCCCAAACCAAACCCTTACCAACTGTAAGTTCAAACCAGTAAACTGTGGAAAGCTACAAGCACATAATCAGTCAAAGTTGGAGTTATTTCTATTTCCACGAGAATGATTTCATCTTTCATCATTTGGAAGTGCTGTCAATAAGCCGAGCACCTACCCGGTCAAGTCGTTTAACCATAGCCAGAGACTTCAACTTGCCAGCATTCATGAAAGCTTCCACCATTCTTTCCCCAATCTCTCGAGCTCGCTCTTCATTGTCTGTCACCGCGACAGCAGTAGGGCCTGCTCCACTTATGGTGCAGCCAAATGCCCCAGCTTCAATCGCGGCTGCCTTGACTGCTTCCATCCCTGGAATCAAAGGCGCTCTTTTTGGCTCAACTATCTTATCTGATGACAATGCCTTACCTAAACCCTTGATGTCTCCTTGTAGAACTGATGCCACCAAGGCCCCTGCTTGACTGCAATTCCAAACATGATGAGACATGGGCACCTCAGGCGATAATGCCTTTCTCATCTTCTTCGTGGGAGCTTCAAATTCTGGATTAACCAACACAAAGACCAGATTTGCATCTAGCGGAAGCTTGAGTGGTATAAGGTCTAAAGGATCATAACTTCGAATCAACACAAAGCCCCCCATGATCGCCGGGGCAATATTATCTGCATGGTAACCAGAGACCTTCGCTTCTGATTCTAGCCCTGCAGTAACCAGATCTGCCAAAGGCAACTGGTTGCCAAATAATTCATTCACAGCCACGGCAGCAGCTGCAGCACTTGCAGCACTAGACCCAAGCCCGCTCCCAAGGGGTAAGCCTTTCTCAAGAGAAAGTGAGAGGCCGACGGATCGAATGCCAAGCATCTTCATAACAGCAATGGCGGCGATGCCGGCACAGTTCCAAAGGGGGTCTTTTGAGAGCTTTTTGCCCGCACCCGAGATGTTGGAGATGGAGATCTGGCCAGGGTGCACGTTTGGGTCAACATGGAGAGTAACAAAGTCTCCAATACCATCAACAGCACAACCAAGGAAGTCAAAACCAGGGCCAAGGTTTGCAACCGTGGCGGGAGCAAAGGTCTTGACTGATGTGAACACGGGTTGGGGTTCAGAAGAAGCTGAACATCTCAAGGATTGGTAATGTTGAGATGGAGCATGATGCAGGCTCCAGGATGAATTACTACTGAAATTAAAGAGGCTTGAGGTGTTGGTTGTGAACTTGAGTTGTTGAAGAGGCAAATGGGATGTAGAGAACGAACAGGCAGCCATTCTTGTTCTAATTCAAGTTACAATGATTTTCAGGCTTCTCAGTCTTAAAACTTCAATCCTACAATTAATCCCACAAAAACAATTAAAAAAATAAATTGCAGCATAAGTCGGAACAAACAGCAAAAGAGCTCAAATTGCACAAATGCTTACATATATCTTAAAAGACACGAGAAATGTATAATGACAACAAAAAAAAATCCTCCCAACGCAACTCGAATAATATCTTACTCAACTTCAAAAAAGCAGAGAATGGAACAATGACAGCCCATAAAAGCCTACAACACAGCTCGAATGACCAAAAAAATTTCCGTAGCTTCCAAGTAACAGATACAACGAGCAGATTGCTAAACCATAGATGCAATTTTAAAAGCATATCACCATTATGCAACAATCACCTGTGAAATTTCAAGTAAACAACACAAAAACCCCACGAAAGGTAAAAGAGACTATGAGAAAAGATGATTACTAGGAATTAGCCGATTGGGATTTCTGATCTTTCAGAAGTGTGGCTCGTGGGAAAGATTAAGCTGTTAGTTTCAGGATTTGAGTCGAGAGAATCTGGGAACACGAGAGATGATGATGTATCGATAAAAATCTGTCAACTTTCTCCCCCTTTTTTTACTTTTTAGGGTTCTTTGACTTGGAGCCTTTGGAGGTGTTTGATATTTATTACATGGTACGCTGCCGTTTCGCTCGATATTAAAGTTCTTTAATTTAAAGTTTTAAACCGGATGGGGAAAGAAGAAGCTATAGTAATTCCTTTCAGAAAGCAAAAATGAAACTCAATATAACAATTACGGGAGTATTTTTATTGATTTTTTTTTGTCTGTTTATTACGGGTAAAATTATTACAAATAAACATTTGTTACTTATTTTTTTAATATCTTGTGACATTAATTTTATCACTTAATATTTTAGTTGGTTTTCATATGGCCATGGTTTCAATTGGAGGACCAAGATCAATCACTTGTCCAAAATAGAACAAGGATTTTCCTTCTATGCATCGACAATTTTAATGTGTAAATAATAATATCTTGTTTGAGACCAAAATATCAACTATTTTGTGTTTTGTGAGTTAGAAAACATTTATAAATATTATAATTTACGTTTTATATATGTCATTTTACTGGTTACGAGATTAAGCGTTTCTTACTTTCCGAGTTTGAGATTTAATTATGTCTAAACATTTACAAACATCCATTTTAAAAATGTGTCGATTAATATGTTCTCTGTTGTAAAATTGTGAATAACAAACAATGACATGAATATGAGGTTGAAAACTATTACTATAAGATAGATATTTTTTTAAATGTAATATTTTTGTATTCATCATTTTAATTTACCTATATATAGCTAGTAACGGAAGGACTAATCAGCAAATACATTTGTTTCTCCCGCTCGATCGATACTGGTATTGATTTTTTTTTTTTTTTTTCATTTCTAATTGTTCCCGGCCGATGTCGACGTCACGGCGGCAGCAGCTCCGGGACACTCAAACGCCGTCGAAGGTATCGGCACCTCCGAAATTTGCCGCGGGAAATGATTTTTTGAGGAAGAGATCTCGTCGAACTCTGTAAACCTTCCAGAAAGATCGTCAATACCAAATGTGACGTCGGTACTAATCACAACCAAGCCTTTTGTCGAATTTGTAAGTCGGTTGCTGATTTAATTCGAATTCTGCTTCTCCTTCTGGGCATAAAATTAAAACTAGATGATAAGATATGCTGTGGTTTCAGTATTCACTAAATGTGTGTCTGAAGTTGCAGTTATGTAATGAGCTCAAGTTTAAATTCAAATTTGGTGTGCTTGGATGGTTTTTCAGTTTCTGCTTGGGTTAATGAATCTTGACATGATTTAGGCCGATTTCAATCGCGCACTATGATTGTTGAAAGATTTATTAGCCATATTCAGCTGATGCATTGATTTTTCCCGGTTGAGTCAGTTGTATTGTTAAATCACACTGCATTGAGCTAGTATGCTTGTGAACTGAATTGCACAACCTGAAGTAATCATTTGATGAGATGAATTCGTTCTGTATTACTGAACCTGAACGAACACGTAGAACAACTGCTTATATTCAGTTTTCTTACACACATGAAATTGTCAATTACATGAGTCCTGAAGATGATACAGGCAACATTTTGCTGGAGACCACAATCGAGGGCGTTGAAGCTTTAGCCATCAGCATAGATGGTCATGCACCTGGTAATTTCTGTCCTTGAGCTCTTTCCTTTTCATCATGTGTGTTTTTCCTCTTTACTTTTTGTTCTATACATACGCACTTGTCTATTATGTTTTCTGTTGGACTTGAACAACCTTGACATCCTACTGTGGAAACCAGTTAATCCTTAGCTCCATTCTGTTCACTTCTCTTATCTGCCGTTCATGAGATAGCCAGTGTAGTTTGACATTTTTTATCTTTACCTTCTTATAATGGCTGCAAATGTAACGGTTTGTTCTTTTTTCTCCATTTTTCTTGTCAGTTGCAGATTTTGTGAATTTCAACAATTAATCTTTTGAATATCTTGATTCCTGTTTATGCTTACCAATGCTAGAAATCCTTGTTCTCTCTAAACTTTTTGCAACTATGTCAATGATGGTGAAGCATCTCCTTTTTTCTCAGTATCGTGGTTGTTCTTTGTACTGTAGTTTTTTCTGTATAACTTGATGGTGAGTGGGAATTTCCATTACTAGCATAGGTCGCTCAAAGTTCATTGTTAACTCTTTCAATTCTCTTTGTGGAAAATTTGCTTTTTGACCGAGATAGTTAGGTAACAGATGCTATTGTTTAAAGTTAAGTTAAGAAAGAATGTATATGTCATGTTCAACTAAGACCTTGCATGTCCGGTCTACCTTTGAGAGTTTAGTGGTGCCATTCTGTGCTTGGTTTTATTTACTGAAGTTTCCTTTCTGTTTTGTTACAATTGATGAATAGATAGTGTCTTGATCATAGATTGTAGACTTCTGGTTTTGTATTGCATCTTGAGGTACTGTCTGATGTAACTCAGGTGTTCCCACCTTTCAGATTTGTACACAAGATTGCTACATTAGAAAAGGCTGCTGGTTTTCAGGTCTACTCTCATATTATCATACGTATCCTGTCGTTTATCACACACAGTTGTGCTTTTGGCATATATTGAGGGTTGCTGAAATGTTGTCCTATTTCCAAATAGGCCTTCTCAACCAACCACCCCCCACCAAACCACCATATGCACACGGACACACACAAAAGGAAAAGACACGCTCAATAAAAGTAAAGATATATACTTGTTAAGCACTTTAACTGTGGTTTAGACGAGTGAGAGAGTGTAACTAGAATTGAGAGAATATCTATTGCTGGAGCATGACCTTTTAGTCTATTGTTGACTTTGGATATAATTGAAGGTGAAGCTTAGTGGCTTATATCTACTGGCAACTGTTTTCCCTTCTTAGAAGGCTTCCCATTTTCGATTTTTTTTTTTTTTTTTTTGGTCTTTTGTAGGATCTGAAGCAAAAAGAAGCGTGAGAATAATGTGCTTCTTGCATTACTTGAGAATGCACAATACGCTGTGATTGTTGATGCTCTTCTCACGGTAACTGAGATGTTTCAATGGCATTCTTTGCTTTCCACGCTTAATGTCTTTGAAGAATTTTAGGAGTAGATAATCTTGTTTTTCATCCATTTAGGTTCGCTCAGCATTTGGTTGCATTTGGTTTATTGCAAGAATTGCTATTTTTGAGAAGAAAGGTGGAACATGAGCTTTAATTCTATGTATATGTTTCCCACTGCTGGACGCCTTTCATTTTTTTACTGCCTCAATATTGGGAATCTGCATCATGCTGGAGTCTTGACTTGTTGCGATATAGTTCAGGTGTCCTGCGATGATGTTAAATTATTTTGGTTTTGGAATTTCAGTCTGTTTGCATGAAAAAGCTCTCCTTACTTGAAGCAGCTGACTCTTCCTTGTACTTACCATGATTTTCGTCAGCTAAAGCTGAAGGTAAAGTATCAGCTCTTTCAGGATTCTAGACCTGCAATGCTGCCGTTCATTCATTGCATCCTTTCTCAATTCTTTTAGTTGTGTCGATCTAGGCATATATCCTGGTAGCATAAAGTTGAAAACTTTTTGTATCTGCAAATCATTAGCAGTATCTGTTCCATAATTGCTAGGAGAACAAAAAAAATTTTGTCGGACAGGTCTTGGTATGTTGTGACGTGTGATATAGCTTTTAAGGACATTTGTTATACGAAAATTCTTTAGAAAGGAGAAATGTAAACGCAGCTGATTTTACGTTCGCCTTTTTTCGTGCTTGTTTTCGTGCAGCAAGCTTCATGACCCTGCATTGTTATTAATTCTCTCATAATATCAAACATGTTTGTGCTTATAGGATATGGCATGTATTTTTTCTTGGTCTGATAACATTATCAGATGGCATTTGGGTTAATTATGTGGATGTTTGCTTCACCACAGAATTGTTGTGGTTACCTTTTCAGCCTGTGTTATCGTTCATATGCAGATATTGCCACAGCAGCAGTAGTCTTTAGAAGGTCACTGCATATATGATGGTGGTAATTGTAAGCTTCATCTTTCATTCTCCCATCATGCTGATTTCAATGTAAAAGTATCAAGGTGTTATAAATTATAGCTCATAGTTTAATTAAATACAAAGGCGACCTTCCCCATAACTTAACAATAGTGCGGTGTTGAAAGGATTGGATGCATGTTTCTCTGGTGTATTCTCCTTCATTCCTACCTTTTCGCTTTGTTTTGTGGTAAAATTCTTTGGTCCACTTTAGGTTTTTGTGCATTCCTTCCAGGCATTCAGTGGCAAGAGTTGAGGTTATATAGTCCCAGAGTCTGGATTATTTGGCACGCAACAAGCTCCTGGCATCCCTGTTGTGGCCACATGTTGCCTGAATTCTCTAGCTGCTCCACTGTCACCTCCACCAGGGAGTGGTTGTAGCTGAGGGACTCTGTACAGTCCCAACCATGTAAGGCGCAGGTGTCTTCTTGGTATCCGAACATACAGCCAGGATGGAAAAGCTCAGATCCCGGGCACTTTCCCTGGCCAGCTTTATGCTCCAGCAAACCCTGGTTACTCACCTCAGATAATACCAAGAGCTCCAATTGCCCCACACCAATGAGAGTTAGACTATGTATCAGTCAAGTATGCCACTCCAAGGTGTGCATCCTTATTATCATTGATAAATTTTGCCACTTCCTGTTGGAGAAATTATGGGTTTTCACTCGTCGTCTTAAAGCAGAGGGCGAGTCCTTGTCAATGAACAACAGAATTCAGCATTTTGGTTATCTCACACCTTGCAGCAACATGATGTAATTTCGGTCGCTACGATATGATAAGCTTTTCTTTCTCATCCATTACTTACTCCAATAACGTACTACTTTACTTCTGGTTTGAAATTTCAGGGAGCAACCATATTTAACATGATAACAAACAAAACAATCATTTTGGAACGGATGAAGTATCAAAGGAAATAGAGCCTTAAGTATAATTTTCTTTAGATTTGATGGGGTTGTTCAAGGGCATGTGCGGTCTGATCTAAAACATAAATACAGGTACTTAAAATGTTGGGTTGCAATGTTAAATTGGTAATGGTCCACCATTGTCAGCCCACAACAAGAGAAAGAAAAAAAAACTTAGCACCATTTAACATCCAGTGATTTATCTCTGTAACCACTATCTTCAAAATCCAGCAAAGTGTGTTTCTCGGGTGTTGGTTGGTGCTCATATCATAATTTAAATATTTGGCCAATTTGGTTTTCCTCATTTTGCCGAGCCACAAGGTAAAGTCTCTCCCAATTGGTTGCTTTCAGGAACTTAAATAAGAATTGCCTACTCAATTAGGTGCATTTCAGCTGTTTAGGCAAATACACATGCTGAGCTTTTCTCCAATACTAATCCAAAAAAAGGGGGTCCAAAATTCGCCGTCTATCACTCCTCCCCTTCAGGCAGTCAACTGAATGAATTGTATAAGTCAACAGTCAACTTGCGTTTACGATTGTGGTGACTATTAATATTAAAGTGATAGATAGGCTTCCCTCATGAAAGGGAAAAAAAAAAAAACACTATATATTTTTATCTTTTCGCATTTTCCACTCATATATGAAGTATGAATAATAGCAATCTTGAATTTGTTTGATACATAAAAGTGAATAGATCATATATCCCTTTTTCCTACCAAACTTCAGTCGCATAATCTGAACGAGGGGCATCCCCCATGATCTTTTGTTTTTTGGGGGAGATAAAACCCCCGTGGTCCTGATTACTGTATATTAACATTGACATTTTTTCAAGTGAACAACAAATGGTTAACATTTAAAGAATAAAAGTGGATCCACTGAAGCAAGTTTGTGTCAAAGTTTTTTTTTTTTTTACATCTTTGTTGGTGATGTACTAATCTTTACTTTTTTCTTCTTTTTTTTTTTCCAGTCAAGCCTTAGGACCAATGTAATTATTATGATCATGGTTTAAATCTTGACGTTGGGTCATTTAGACATAGTCGGAACAATAATTTCAAATACAGAACAGAACGTGTCAACTGTAATGTATCAATGTACTAATGGGAAGCAAAGCAATAAACATGGTTGTGTGTTTGGGTTAGAGATCATGTGAGGAACTTGGTAGCGTCGCTCTCAATTTTGCTGCAACCTCGAACTAGACTGGACATAAATATATAATGTCAAAAGGCACAGCAGCTTAAATGAATGCGGGAAAAAAGGAAAAAAGATAAGAAAGAAAAGAAAAGAAAAGAAAAAAGGAAAAGGAAAATCCCACTAGCTATAAGGTAGCAAAACAGTTGAACTAATTCTCATGACGTCTCCAGTGCAGTACAACCGTACAATTAATTGCACCATTGAATTCAAAAGATGAAATTCTTGCCCCCGCCATATTATGACCCCCTTCCGCTCTCACTTCTGCGTCATCATAGATCTATTTCTCTTAATTGCCAATGATGCATTAAACACTTTTAAAGTTTTAAAATGATGTGATTATCTTGTAGGAGTTCTTAGCTTTTCGTTTATAGATAGGGTTGGATTATTTTAACACATCCGCGTTGTTCTCCAAACTTCCGTATCTGAGTACACTTATCGCTACAGTAAATTATTTTTATCTTTAGTAATAATTGTTGCTTATTTAAGATTGATTCTTGAGATTTGAGGGTAGATTTAAACATTAATCCACCTCCTGACTAGAAAATCTAATATACAATAGTTGTACCCATCTTTTTACTGCAACCAACCAATAGGGATTAATATTTGATTTTCGTTGGGCTCCATGAATTTCTCTTTCTCTCTCGTAAAAATATTATCTTTCCCGTTTTAGTACAGCAGCTGTAGTGAAGATTTACTCCCTACTAACGCTTTGTGATAAGTCGTTACAAATGAACGTATTCTTTTTTCTTTTCATTTTTTTTCCTTTACCGCATTCTCTTATTTTATTTCATTTGATGCAATTACTTCATCAACAAACAATGCATCAAGCAGAGCACGAGGATTTGAATTGAAGAGAAGTTGAAAAAAAAAAAAAAAAACAAAACTTGAAACGTTGTCTGAAGCAGAACCAACCAACAATCCCATGCGCCACTACGTTTCGTACGTTAACAAATAACAAAGGATGTCTCATTCCATCTTCTGTAGTACTACTACATAGTAGTAGCTAAAGTAGTGTCACAATTCCACAATGTAGATAGTACGTGCTGTAATATATATATTGGCTGTTATAATTAACTTTTTGGATTAGACAAATCATCTTTTTAAATGGTCCACATTTTTCACTGTTTTTAAACAGTCTATTTCCCCACAAACCACAAGCTATATTGACCTTTTACGTGCAACCACTATTAAACAATGTTTATCTTTAGTCTTTGGATAAGCAAGTTTTCTGGGTTTTGAAACGTAATTAGGGCCTGAATTGACTTTAAATGACATTAATTTGTAACACAAAAAAAGGTCGTTGAACTGGGAATTTCTGCTTGTATAATAATATTCTACAGATTGACTTATATTAGAGAGAGAGAGTGTGTGTGTGTGTGTGTGTGTGTGTGTGTGTGTGTGTGTGTGTGTGATTGGGGTTTTGGTATGGTCTTCCAATTTTGAGCAACTAAGTGCTCCTTTGATCACGGTATACATGACACTGGAATTCCTACATTTCGGTGGCAAATTGGCAATCAATCAATCACACAAATATTCATCGCTAACCTTTTCTTAATGTAGACAACTGCATATGTTTCGTTCAGTAGCTTTTTTTTTATCATATTACCCGCACAATTTGACACTTTGACGATGACCCTAATCCAACGAATTAATTAAGCCACTATTTGCATTTTCCCCTATTTCCGAATGATACATATTATGCATCCATGTCTCACCTCTAATAAAAATTTAATTATCCATCCGGGTGTCTGAAGTCACCTTTATAATTAATCACTTCGTTCGTATTTGATTTAGATAGATTTTGTTTTTTTTTCTATTAAAAAGGAACTATACTGTATTTTACTCACTGTTGCATATTTCGTCTGTTATAAACTCAAGGGTCAATTTGGTTCAAGAGGGGATTAATAATAATGAATGTGGTTCCTATATATCCAAGAGAAAAAAACACACACATACACACACGCACGAGAGAGATAAAACTACAACATTAAACGAAATGCACCATACTGTTTGGGATCGTCCTTTCTATGATGATGCAAATAACATAAGAGGAGAATTAGACAACTATTAAGGAATGGAAAGTAGCAATTAGTGGTGAAATGATTATAAAAATGCCATATCAATTTGTGATCATCATGACCATAAGATTAGTTCGACATTATTTTGGGTAAGGTTTAGTTTGTTCGTGATTGTAGCAATCATTTCAATGGTGAAACGAAACTGTTTTCACATTTCACGTGAACCCGGCAACTCTATTGAATTTTCCAATCCCCACATCTAATGTTTTCTACTTTCCAGCTATCTGTATATTTTTTGTTCTTCGTGGGCTTCATTGTCAACGAATAGCTAGCTAGCTTTTCGTGCATGAATAGAGTCAAATATATTAGCAGAGTGGTACTCCCCGTTCTCTCAGCTGTAATGCAATTCAAAAACAAACCTAATCCTCCTCCACAAAGAGAGATTCAACGTGATAAAATATGATCGTGATTAATCTGTGCCTTGTGTTAGAATTATTTAGCTTAAGAACAGTTAAAAATTACTGAATCACAATTTTCATCTAGTTATTTATGTTAAAAAAAAAAAAAAAAAACCACTATGACTCTTGAATCTTGATTAATGAACTAAAACAATCCACTTTTCCTAATATTTTGTTCATAGATTGTCGCAATGAATTTTGTCATGTAAAATATTACAGAGAATAAAGGCTATTAACTCAGCAGTTTGTCTTGATTGATTTTATGCCACAATTGATGTTGATTGATTACCTGATTGAATCAAAACAGAGAAATTCCCGAAGTTGACATTCTCTTTCACACATCCCAATTTTTCTCATCGAGCTTGTTAGTTGTTACTACCCAAAACAAAACCCAAAAGAAAAAAGAAAATGATGTAAAAAGAAGAAGAAGAAGAAGAATAAAATTTATTACTTTTAACAGCCAAAAAAATATTGGTCCCAAAAATGAACAATAAATAAAAATTAATGTAAAGTTTGTCATCTTTGATGTGCTGGGCCAGTTTTAAAAACGAGTAGAGAAAAACAGTACTCACTCCTCTCCCCCTGACTCCCTCCTATTTATTCCCCCAACAGATACTATTTCTTCCATTGCAGCCTTTCCTTAATTCCCCTTCTCAACTATATTCTACAAAGCCTCCGCCTGAGTGCTTTTTTTTTTCTGGTAAAAATCAATCATCTTCTCTTCTCTTGAATTTTCAGTAGCTAAGGTTTTCTTTTGAGAATGTGCATTGGGCTAATATATATCACTAAAAACTTAAATCAATTTTCATTTCCTTTAATTCATGCAGGAAGGGCCAAAAATGATGCTACTTGGACTTTTCATGGTCGGATTAATCTCCGTGGCTTCTCCAGTTCACGGCTACTATGGCGGTTGGTCTCGCGCTCACGCCACATTCTATGGTGGCGGAGACGCTTCTGGAACAATGGGTACATACTGTCATATATATGCTGTCTTTCCGTCCCAAAAAAATAGTAGTTCATTTTATTCGATGAATGAATACAGTAATGAAAACTTTTTGTATTATTACATGTAGGCGGAGCTTGCGGGTATGGAAACCTGTATAGCACGGGTTACGGTACGTCAACCACGGCTTTGAGCACAACCCTTTTCAACAATGGCTTAAGCTGTGGATCATGCTACCAAATTATGTGTGTCGGTGATCGGAGTTGCTTACGTGGAAGTATTACGGTCACCGCCACCAATTTCTGCCCGCCCGGCGGCTGGTGTGCTCCTCCTAACCAACACTTCGATCTCTCCCAGCCTGCATTCTTACGGATTGCCCAATACAGAGCCGGGATCGTTCCCGTTGCATTTAGGAGGTAACATATATATTGAAAAAAATCATCCGTCTCACTTTTTGTACAGTTTGTACTAACAATCTTCCTCTTAGACTATTTATTAATTAGTTATATACGACCTATGACGTGTGACTAATTAAGTACAAATAAAGTAAAAAAAAGAAATCGTTTCAGTTATGAGACGCGATTGATGATACTGATTGAGTATGGTGTTTGGGAATTTTTATTTTTTAGGGTGCCCTGCAGAAGAAGGGGTGGGATTAGGTTCACAATAAATGGACATGCCTACTTTAACCTTGTGCTCGTGACCAATGTTGGAGGAGCTGGGGATGTACAGTCAGTGTACATTAAGGGATCAAGGACTGGATGGCAACAAATGTCCAGGAATTGGGGTCAAAATTGGCAAAGCAATGTTTACCTAAATGGACAAAGCCTATCTTTCAAGGTCACCACAAGTGATGGCCGGAGTCTAGTCTCTTACAATGTTGCCCCTCCAAGTTGGTCGTTCGGGCAGACTTTCTCCGGCCGCCAATTCTACTAATTCAATAATTTTTCCGACCGGACCTCATTCTTACTAAGTGACTACAGTACTGCATTGGTCGAGTGATATCCAAACTGCTGTAAAAACATATATATTTTAGATTTGGTAGCTTAATTCATTCAAGTGTTATATCATCAAGTTGTAAGGCAATTTTTGAGTGGAGCTAAGTGAAAAAAAAAAAAAGGGCTTTGTAAGTGTGGTCCTTTTTTCTTTTTTTTTAGCAAACAAATATATAGCGTTGTTTTATTGTTGAGGAAATAAAAGCAGGCAATTGTGATATTCTTCATATATATATACAAACTCTCAGTCTCTGTGTATATAAGCAAATATACTATATGCAAATTCTGCGCCATGTTTCCACGCCTCAGACAGCAGTTCTGGTTACTACTGTTGTATGAATATGACCCTTTATTGTTTAACCAACACTTTTGGATTAAAAAATATCTGATTCCCTGAGCTCCAAATTTATGCGAATCCCATTGGGATCAAGGATAACTAGCAGAGAAAGTCATATGCGGGTTTGTTTCCACTCGAGTAAAAACTCATATGCTGCATATTCGACTTCTTTCATGACCAAATGTAATTGTCGGAAGGTTTTGACAGTTTTTACCATTGTCGGCAGGTTTTTGGTCTGTCACGTTTCCAATAGCGCCTTTGTTGCTCCTTAGTCCTTTACCATCACATGGTAAAGGGCCCCCAGTAAGATTTCTTGTTTGGAATCTGTTTTCGTGTCCTGAATATTTTGTTTGTAACCCCCAATGGAAAATGACCTGAATTTAATTGAAATGTAACTACGGATTTCAACTTGAAAAGCCAGAACAAAAAAAAGGTACAGGATGATAATATTACTACTATTTATGGGTTTGGGGCCTTTGCGGAGATCGACGGATTATGGCATACATATTTTGTGCAACACATTTTTGTGCGATAAGTAATTCTCTCTAAACAGTTGATACGTATCCAATCAAATGCCCATTAAGTTCAGCAATTGTTGCCTATTTATCCCTTCTAACAGGTTTGCAATTGCAGCTTAATGACATATAGATCCAAGGAAATCAAGAACTTACAGAAGATGGATGATGAATGCCACTACAATTCAAGATTCATGTTAATTTGACAAGTAGAAATGGGCCATACATTACTTCAGTTTTTTCGGGTGTCCTTAGAGGCCCATATGTCTTCAGAGAGATGTCCAGTTGGAAAGGTCGCTCCATTTTCTCCATTAGGTACTTCTCTCAACGGTCCATGTCTTAACTCTTGTTTCTTTTTTCTAGACCATTTCATCCTGTTTTGTGATACATCTCAGCTAAGGCCCAATAATATGATCCAACAGAGATTGCTTTTCTCCTTCTATCCAGTTTTTTTTTTTTTTTTTTAATTGTATTTACCATTACAACTAGGTCAACGGTTACATATCTTTGTATCGTGGGCAAAAATTTTCTCTTACAGAAAGAGTGTGTAAGCAAAGAGAGAATTCATGAGGTTTGTTCACCTTGTAGGAATCGAGTAGTGCATTGTTGGTTAGGGCATCGTATTTTTTAACCGCGAAGGTTCAATTCTTACCATAAACATAGGAAATAGGCAACTGAAGGAGAAACAGATAACTGACTGGCCATCAAATTAAGCAGACATGAGGTCTGTCATCATCGGCCACGGAAGACCAGACAGACTGAACAAGAGGCGTGACCGAGTAGAGTCTCGCCCAATTAGTATTATCCCTGTCCGAATAAGATCTACTCCTGTTGTAATAAGTAGATATTTCTTAGGTGCAGTTTTAAAAAACAAAAATTAAAAAAATCCACCTCGTGGCCCTGGGGGAAAAATTCTTTGTAGGTACAGTATCTTCAGAGGAATCTTGGTGGTTTCTCCACGAGAAACTACCTCTTTGCATGTTTTATTAACTTAGAGGAGCACTTGTCATGAATTTTCAGTATGAATATTTATTCCAACTTCCAAATACATTTTTTGTCTGGAAAGAAAGTATCGCATTTGTTAAAACTTAAGTTACATAGACTCTTGACTTTGCCCAAAATATGGGATGGCATGGATCCTCCCTCATCTTTGAACCAAAAACACAAATGTTACATGGATGCAGAGTCTACAACTTAGGTTAAAACAATGATTTTTTTTTTTCAGAGTTGGAAAGTATAGTATGTGCATATTATCATTATCTAAAAGTAATAATGTAGTTGAATTCAACGACTTCATTGCCAACCATCATCCAAAAGGAAATAATACGTACAAATTTTACTCCCTAAACAAGAGTATTTGCTCATTTATCCCAACAACACAATAATGCTCCATTACACGACGCTACCAAACATATTAATATTTGCATTATGATTCATCCAAAATCCTTCCAACGAATCCAGCATTCAAGCGTGCCTTTTTTTCTTTTTTTTAACTTGATGGAAAATTATTCCCTACCTATCTTGATTTGGTGTACTGTACACACGGAAATATTAATTGGCCTCTGCACCAAATTCTCAATCTAGAGCAAATATTCTATGTAATTTAAGTATCTTTTCCAATCATTTTCTGAACACTCCACTCCCAAAAAGACTCTGGCAACGCGCTTGAATCTGAAATAACAAATACAATAAGATTAAGTTGCAGTCGATGAAGATTTAATTTAATTTTTTTTTTTTCCAAATTTTCTGATTCAGTCTTGGTTGGAACTTTTATATTATTGAATTCGCCGGACCCAATTCCCGTCTTACCAAGAAAAATAAAATCAGAAAAGTAGGAGAAGAGACTTATATAAAATTCTAATTCGCAATCTGGATGATCCTGAGAAAGAAAAAAAAAAACAAGGAAAAAGAAAAAGATCGGACGTGTACCCACCAGATCGCACGGATGACCAGAATATTAGTTTAGTCTTAGTGTGAAAAAAGTAGTATTAGTCAATAATCGATTGAAAGTTAAACAATTCATCGCATGGAGACCACGAGACTCCGATTCAAATTTAAATTAATCGAAATAATCACTTCAAATACTTAATATATGAAAAAAGTTTTTTAAAAAAATATTGAGAAGAAGAAATTTCTCTTTAAGACTCAATGATCTGTTTACCTTTATTTTTTTTAAAAAAATATATATATAACTATGAAAAATATGAAAATATAAAGACTCAATTTAACACATGGTGCGGTTAGAAAAATACTTTCTTTAATCACTAGGCATGTCACACGTCAAAACTGGTTGTGATGAGTTTTAGCTATACACTTCAATTAATTTCGCTACATTAATGGCGGGTTCCTAAATTGAGGACGGATGTATGTTTTTTTAATGTAATCTCTTTACTTTAGTGTTTTCTTGAATAACTTGTCACTGTAAGAGATCATACAGTCTAAAAATCCCTCCATCTCTGCCTATATCAACAAGACAACATCCAATATTTGAACTCTTTAGCTTCGCTTGGTTGGAGTTACTAGATGATCCGCCGTTCGAGATTAAGCCGTTGTTAGTTAGAACTTAGAGCGCAACTTTATTGGTGTTTCTAATCAAGGGTCCATTGTAATGTAATACCCTGGACTTTTGTCTCCTATTTTGTTAATAAAAAAAAAACCTGGAAGATGCAAATGTTTATTCTGTAGAAGTGGATGCGTAAACATGTACTCCTTCCGTTCATAATTATTGTCCAGTTTAAGTTTTCATTTTTAGTTCAAATTATATTAAAAGTGAAATCTCAAACTGGATAATAATTTTGGGAAAGAGGGAGTAGTAATTGACTAATTGACCTTTCAACTTTTCTTTTTTTATTTTCGTGTTTGAGTTGGAAGAATAAAAATTTCAAGGAACTTGACATGAATTTTCACAAATCAACTTCAGTCAACTAAAGCACAAAAGGTTGTCATTTCCGAATCTCCCTCCCATTTTCTCCAATCTACCCAACAAAAACAAAAGGCAAACAAAAAGGAAAAGATATATATATATATATATATAGAGAATTTAAAAAAAAAAAATAGATGCAGGCCAGCCAGCTTATTCTTACCCAACCACATCTCTCAAAGTATACACTACTTTACTACTAATTCCACAATTTTAGAATTTTTGACATTAGAAAGTGTACCCATCAGAAGCAGCCAGGAAATTTCCCAGATTAATGTTTATGAAACGGTGCGACCATTTCGATTGGGTAAGATGTCAAATCCTTCACACCAATTCTCACTCACACCTTCCCCCACGAATTGGACTTAACTTTGCACCTTACCCGCATCTTCCTTCCCTTTTGATTCTTCATTTCTTTGAAATTTTTTGGATGGTGACTTTTTTTTAGCTTTCCTTCATCAAATCAACGTCTCTTTCCTGGCCATGTATATATACCATCTTCTTCCTCTGTTTCCCCATTCAGAATTCATTCAAACAAACCAAGTAAACTGACTTCCTCTGTTTTTTTTTCTTCTTTTCCTTCTTTCTTTCTCCATTCCCATTTGTTTTGCATGAGACTTTGAGATCCTGACACTTCTTACCATCAATCTTAATAATTTAGTCTAATTTTCGCCATGTCTCCCAGCGAGATCAATCACTTGCCTATTGAGTACATTTCTCTTGACAAAGCAATCCCTCTTGCGGTTTTGCTCTGGGGTCTCTGCGTTCAAGTCTTGCGTATTATTTTCGATTTGGACGCCAAAGTTTACTCCTTTTTCCTCGGATCCGACCATTCTTCCATCCCAATGAAGGAAACCACCCAATCAAATCGATGTGGAACCTGTGAACATGAGAAGAAGAGCAGAGAAGATTGTTTGCCGGTGCCGGAAAAGAAAACCAAGCCCGATGACAGAGTATGCAGGGGAGATGTGGAAGTGGTGTTTAGGAGCCTAGGAATGCTCAGCAACCCTCCACAAGAACCAGAACAAATGATTAGGTTCCAAGAGAATGATGTGTTTGATCTGTTTGAGGAGAAGGAACCCAGTGAGTACGAGGTAAGAGCGGCTTTTGAAGTGTTCGATGAGAATAAGGATGGGTTCATCGATGCGAGGGAGTTGCAGAGGATACTGAGTGCTCTGGGGTTGACGGAAGGATCGGATATGGAGAATTGCAGGAGGATGATCAGGGCGGTTGATGAGAATGGAGATGGCAGGATTGATTTCCATGAATTTGTCAAGTTCATGGAGACAGTTTGTTATTGAGAGCAAAGATCATTAGTCATCTTTAATTCTTTGATTACAATTAACCTCTAGATTCTTCGTGTTTTTATTTTTAATTTTTTGCTGTAAGCCAACGTTACATATCTTTGTTTTGCCCCCTTTTATGGCGGGGTTTGTTCATATTCTTTTGGATGAGAAGAAAATCTGAGTATAAATGAAACACACAACATTGATGAATCTCATGATGGATCTGTCTCAATTTTTTGCTATTTCTAAGATGTCGTATCATATCATAAAAAGAAGTTAAAGCCAGATTACTCCTTTGAAAGTGGATATACATAATCACAGTCACAGAATCTATTGATTTTTAAGGTTTTCAATGAGAAATTTACAATAGCGGAAAGTGTTTACGACAGTTGACCGGTTCTCTTTTGGCGACTTGACTAGTCATTAGATAGAACGAAAGATCACGGAAACCACCCTTCATCGCCGCCCTAAGCAGCCCCACAGTCAAAGTTTTCGTCCCAAAGTAGTAAATAATTTTATTGCATTTTGAAATTTCATGCAATTTGAATTGGGAGAAATTTTGAAGTTTTTTTTATTTTTTTATCTGGGTTTATACTTAATGATCTAAGTCATCAAATTATAATTTCTATTTACTTGAATATCATTGTAACATTTGAATCTTGGCTAAATTTTTTCCAAAAAAAGGTTGGGATTTTTATCTTGTTCCATCATAAGGTTGATGACTTTGATTGGAATTTAAAAATATAAGGTGGCTACTAAAAACATCATGGAAAGTTCATCTTGGATGAAGTAACATTATTGATTTCAAGAGGACAACATAAAAACCCTAAATGATTCCATTATAAAAGTTGCTTAGGGGTTGTAACATTGAGAACAGTGGCGAAGATATGATTTGTAGAATGGAAGGGAGAAAATGTGTAAAAAAATTTAGCAGGGGCAAAAATATAAAAATTTAAAAATTTAGATTATAACTTTAAAAGGATCTTTTATTAAAAGAACAGGCAAGGAGGGCGACCGCCACTGCTGATCCCGCCACTAATTGAGAAGTCAATTTCTACTTTGAGGGAACCGAACACACCGAGAGTAAAGACGACCGCCCTTACTGATCTCGCTACTGGTTGAGAAGTCAATTTGAACTTCGAGGAAACTGAACACACCGAGGCAAGAGACATAGAGGTTCATTGTTATTTAATTTCCTTATAATTTTGTTTTCTCGATTTGATCTTCTCTTTTGTAATGAAGTTTGTTATTGTTATAATCTGCCTAGATCTGATATCCATAGCAAATTTATATTTCTACCATAGGTTATGGTAATTATCTTCTTTTTTTTTTAATACAATCTATCTATCTATATCTATATCTATATATTATACTAAGGCAAAAACCAGAGAGAGAAAACTAAAGGCATGGAGCACATGCCACATATGATTTAATCCTATGTGGCATTTTCTTAATTTCTTAGACTTAAAAATGCACAAAACAAAATAATAAAACCAAAAAAAATCAACTACAATAATAAAAACCGAACCCTTATTTTCATGAACCAAATTCTAACACAGAGATTGATTGGAGAAAGTACCAAATCCTAACAAATTTTAGAGAGATCTGCATAAACCTTATCACCAGTGAATTTAAAATGTCATGTAAAAAAAACAAACTCCTGTAAATCCAGAGGTAATCATGTTTAAAACTGAATTCATTACATATTTTATAAAAATACAAAATTTATGTAAAAATGTCTAAATGTCTATGCCTTCCCCGTCCATCGGACGGGTCTAACACCTAGTTGTAACTATTTGAGAATAATCATTTGGTGTTTTTATTATAAATTTCTGAAATTTTTTAGAAGGTTTGCTGTCAACATAAGTGACTAATCGCCTTCGCATATGATAAGCATTTCGGTGGGTTGAAGAGCTGACCAACAGATCTAAAGTTACTCTCATGGCAAAGTTCGAACTATCAACTTATAATTAACGAGAGAGAGAGAGTTCTTAACACTCTTACCACAAACCTTTTGGTTACTGGAAATCTCCTTAAGTAATAGTAGGATCATCTATGTTAATATTCATTTCCGTCTATAGAAGTGGTCCAATTTTAGTTGGGTTTTCGAAAAACTATTGTTATTTGTTAGCCTTGATAAAGCAGCCGAACGGCCACAGGCAAAATTTTGGAAAATGGACTTAAAAGAATGGGATACTGAAAGGCCCAAAAAATGGCAGAATATAGGAGACCGGTCTTGTACTTGTAACTGGGCTTGGATTAATTCTTAATGAACAAAAACTAAAATCACGGAAATAAACAACGTTTTTATAACTGCAACAATTCTGCAACCATCATCTGATTTCCTCGTCACACAAACCGAACAAACATCAAAGCCATAACAAATGCTACAACTATTGCCTACTATGTTTTATGGAAGAAACAAATTTAATAAATGGAATCAATCAGTCGTGATGACGATGCGGAGGCGGCGGCGATGATGGTGGCATCTGATCTTGGCGCGGCGGAGAAGGAGCGAAAGGGTCGTTAGCATTGCTGGCCCCTGGCAGAACATAGTCCAGCTCTACCATTTCTCTTTCTGATCTTTCCTGGAAACAAAATAAAAAATAAAAAATTATTATTGGGTTCACACCATTGGAATGTAAATTGAACCAAATTTCAAAACTGGAAAGAGAAAAAAAAAAAAAACCTCAAGCGATCCAAAAGTTTCCCCCTTGATGTGTCTGCCTGATACTGTCAATTAGCCCAAAAAGAAAAAACGAAAAGTTAGAGAACAAAGGTCAGCCAGAATCATTCAATCTTAGAAATGAGAGTTAAAAAAGGTACTACTGTTAAAATTTTTGGGATACCACCATGAAAATGGGAGAGAATCAGCAGAGCAGACACAAGGAAGAGAAGGCCGGCCTGAAATTGAGAGGCTTTCATACTGATTCCTTTCTTTCTTTCTTTCTTTCTCTGCAATCCCCAAAATGTGGGCTACTGGTCCAGCTGTTAGTAGTGTTTTCTGCTTCTTCTTCTGCTGGGTCTGGGGGGTTTAGAAAATTTTGTATGGAGAGGAGATTAGAGTCTATTTATATTATTTATAAGCTTGTATGATTTTGGGGGGGGGGGGGGGTTGGGATTAACCTTTTTTATTGAGATCCGAAACCACGAGTCTTGTGTTTGCTTACCAATACATTCATGACTAATAAAAGGCTGCCGTTTCTTAAGATTAATTCAACTATTTTTGAATTCCATTTTTCTGATTAAAAAAATCCAGCGCATAAATAATTCAACCCAAACATGGGATGATCCGAGGAAAAAAAAGAAGCACACATTCAGACATGAGATTTTACCCATATTTTGAGACTACTTAACCACATTGCTTACGTCGTTGCTTGAATTATGAAGTTTTTGGTTAAGACTTAAAAGAGTAATTGACATTATTAACCAGGTCAATGGAGTATGGTGAAATTATAGTCCTATAATATTACCACTAAGTTGAGCCGCAGCTAAACTTTGTTCTTGCTTCGCGGTAAGGGAACAAGGATGGACCAGTATACTAATGGCGCATGGTTAGACGTAATAATGTATGTTGATCAACTTAATACCCCGGGTCGGTGGGTTTGACAAAGTTCATTTTAGCAGAGTGTTAAATAAATGCAAGTTGGAGAATATTCAATTTAGGAATCATCCCCAAAAGCTGAACCTTTCTCCTCATGAGGGGGCTTTATAGATTACTGTGAGTATTTGTTTTCTCATTTCTGGGTTGGTTGACACTTGACAGAGTTGAGTGCACACCAGTGCAGGCCTATTCGTGCTCTCTAATCCTTCCTAGCATCAAATTCTATGCAACTTTAATACCACCTCCCGTCTCTAAAAGATTGCCCTGCCTATTTCGTGCTAACAAGCTCGATAATCATTTTAGAATAGATAGAATACTACACGTTACCCTGCCACAAAATTGAAACAATTTGGTGAGATTATTAAGTTCAGACTCCAGAGAATGGCGATCCATCATCCCGATGGCCTTGCTGGTGGAGGGCCTAACGGCCTATACATTAATGCAAATAAAATACTGACATGTGTGGGTTTTGTTTTCTAACTTCAGAACTACTCAAAAATCTACAAAATCAATGTGAAAAGGTGACTTTAATGATCCGAATGTGCTCGTCATGTGAGGGATAAGGTGTAACTATTGGCAAAAGCAAGCAAGAGGGAAACAAAAACCAGGGAACAAAAAGTTATGCATCTGTATAACAAATTCCAGCATACAACAAGCTAGCACATGGCAGTTGCTGCAAAAAGCCTAAAAATGTTACAAATATGGTAGCTGGATTCGATTGTAAAACTTACAGCAGATACAATTTTGATACATAACCCCGATCTACATTGTCTCACTAAGCCATACATTAATATGTACATGGTAGGACCAAAACTCAACAACCAATCTATCTTCAGAGAAAGGGCACCTATTGTTCTTTATCCCGAAAAAAGAGAAAGCAACCTGCCAATTCTGTAACATCAAATCTAAACTTCAACATCAACTGGAGATCAGCTTCTGATCTTTACCTGTATTGGCTGGAGTAGACTGGATATCAAGAATGATCAAGCAGGAATATAATAACACTGTATAAGTTAAAAGACCAATGGACTTCCCTAGCCAGAGCAAAAAGATGATGTCAAATTTCTCACCTAATGACTTTAAGATGCCTCATGAAAGCTTACAGACCTCGACAGTGCGGCTGGATTGGCCTGTAACACAGGAGAGGTTTCTGAAACATGTGCCTTTTCATCATCCTTAGACTTGAAAGCCTTAAAAAGACCACCTCCACCAGCTGAATCTACTTTGTCATTTTTTATCCCCAGGGTTGCCCAGATGGAACTCTTTGCAGCTTCTCCTGGGTCATCAATGCGCAATGTTTTTGGAACCCACAAGCATTTCTCTGGATTACTCTCTTTTTGAGTATCTTCAGTTTTACCATCATCACTTTTCAGAATGTTATCATCCCTAGAGTGCTTCCCCAAGGTTGGTGAATTAGGTCCAGAGGTTGGGGAATTGAGGTTCTGTGGCGGAAATGTTGGGTTAATCCATGGGACACTCCAAGATCCTGGTACAGTACAACCCCAATATGGGGCAGCAGGGTAGAATGGCATTGGGAACCCAGGAGGAGGGCAAAAGGCAGCCGGAGGAATTGGAGGACTCCATTGAACTGGGTTCCATGGGTAAGGCCAGGGAGCACCTGGAAAGCAAGGAATCTGAGGAGGAATGCTTTGGCAATTAGGTATTTGTTTGTCGGACATAACATCTTTTCCTGCTTCTTCCTTTGAAGTTGAACCACTGACTGAAGGTCCATTCAGGTGGTCCTCTCCATTCCCTCCACTTCCGTAAGGAATTGCAATTTTTAGCTCCTCTGGCCTTTGGAAACCATTCCTGCTACAGTTAACTGTTTTCTCAGCAATGTTGAGAACTGAAGCCATTGACTCGCATAGAGGGGAATCTGATCCAAATGTAAGTACAGTACCATTAGGCGCAAGTGTTGGGTGGTGAAGTCCATTTGGAATATCCACTCGTGAATTGTGAACAGTTTCAGAAACTGTTATTTGTCTGCATTGGGAGGCTGAACTTTTGTTTTTCCGTCGGCCAGCACCAACAGGCACATTTCTCATAGTTCCACCAGCAGTCCAGTACCTCTGGCAATTCTTACAAAAGTGCCGAGGCTGGTTCACGTTGTAGTTATTATAATAACAGAACTTCGTCTCCATGCTATTACAGCGCGGACAAGGAAGAATCTTATCTGGTTTCTTCAGAGTCTTATCGTGAGAAGTGTTTTTCTCATTATGGTCGTCCTCAGCTTTTGAAGCTGTTGAAGGATCAGCTTCGGTATCCACAGATGTAGCTTTTGAATTCTCCTTTGCTAGTGAACTAACAGATGAATCTGCTTGTTCCTCAGAAATCACCATGTCTGTACCATCCTCTACTTTAATATCATCTCCTCTCCCCTTTGAAACCTGAAACAAAAACATATAAATGAGATTAGTAGATCAACACTGAATACTAGAACCCCATACAACCTGGGGAAAGACCTAGAAGAAAACATTGAAGATTTTCCTGGAAACGTGACTAACATACAATTATTACACTTTTTGATGATGTGAAGCAATTCAGAAGACCATTTAGCATTCAACAGGTCCGTATAAAGAAGGCTTTTAAGTGGTTGAACAGGAGCAGAAGACAACCATGCACTCAATATCAAAAGAATTCTTTTTATAACTTGCAATTAACTCGTGTAAATAAAAAGAGCTCAGATTGCAAACGTTCAACTGTGTTAATCAAAATTGCAGATATTTAAAGGAAGGAATACCACATCACCAGATCAACGCATTCAACACAAAATAGCCATCGAAAAAGACAAAAGATTATTAAAACCGGAAAAAACTGAAGGCGGTTACAGCCGCAAAGCATTATTTTACTGAAAAGGAAACGGCGATATGGATTCTACACACGTGTAAAAGATGACGAAGGGGAAAATGGCAACACCGAATTAATTGGAACCTCAATAAATGTAAATTTAGAATCAGAGAATCCCACCGAACTACACGTTTTTCTTTCTATCATTGTAACTGGGAGGGCTCGGACGCGAGTATCCTCGAAAACATTTTCACTTGCCCTAATTATCCAACCCAACCGCCTCACAAGGAATTGCACGATTATCCACATGAAGATGATGAAAGAATCACACGTCATTCAAAAATATCTACGTAAACAGGACAATATTCCTCCATACAGATAGCTATCATGTCAAAATAACAATTTCGTTAACCGTAAGAAAACCTTTCCCCTCCTTTGTACAAAAAAAAGCACCTTAAACCTATCAATTAGCCAGACAAACATCGAATGGGCATTCCCATAAAAGCTTCCGCTCCAAGCAGACAGAAGTTTTGCTCTGACCTTGGAATTTCAGGATTATTAGAATCCAAGCTCAAATAGGTGTTCAAGTTCAGCCTCCAGGGTCCAGGCTCCGATTAGTATGCCATAAACCGAATCAAAGCTTAAGATTCATTTTCAAGCCATATCCTTTAAAGCTATCTAATAATGAGAGAATAGATAGTTCTTAAAGCAGCAGGTAACTTCAAGAAGCACATTTTCTACAGCATCATATCAAACAACCCATAAAATTTAGGGAATAATCTTTAGTTCCACAACACATGAAAAATCAACCATTGTCAGTCAAAGAAACCAATACTCAATAGTCATCCGAGCAAGTCGGTTGAATGGTTACAAACAGCACAAATTCCAGAAATAGCATCCCACACCGCAACCTAAACAAAAAACCACCTGAAATATATCCACCGAAAAGCATCCACACGAGAAGCTTCAAAAAAAAAAACACCCCTCAAACCTGGGCATATGTAATCAACAAGACACTCCATAAAATCAATGAACAAGATCAACCCGTTATCACCTTCACCAATTTACTCCATGGGTCTCACACCGAAATTGTTAAAAAGGAAAAAAGAAAGAGTAATCAAGATTCTACCTTTTCAGTATCTTCTTCATGAGTTGTTGTCTCCAGGTTGCTATCTTCAGGCAAAGAATTTGTCGAACAGGGACAATCCTGAACCAAACTTTCATCACCAGAAACCTCAAAAGACTGAGCGGAAACAGCTCCATCACATTCGGAGTCCGCCGCCGCAGCCGCCGCCGGAATATCCGGCAGCTGTATAGTTTTCCCAAACAGCTTTATGGCAGGATCCTTGAGGTCCGACATTTCTGGTCTGAGACAACAAAAGACGGAACCTTCAATACCAAAGTTAGCAAAAAAAACTGTTATCCGATAGATTATGAAACCTTAGCCATTGAGATCTGACACACACACAGAAAAACACACACAGTTTAGCTGAAGCGGAGTTTTGCCGCTTGGGGAGTTGGGCTGAGGTGGGGGATGGGGAGGGTGTCTTTTTAGTTTTTTTTTTTCTCTTTCTTTTCTTTTGGTTTGTGTGTGTGTGTGTGTGGACTTGGGGGGGTTGGGGCTAGTGTGTGACTGTGTGTAATTGACCGATCAAAAGGGGGTTGGGCTAATACTACGTGTAAAATCGAGTTAAACGAACGGACCCTCCCCCAGGTAGGCAAGCCACGTCAGCGGGAAAAAGAGAAGCTGAGCCACAAGTTTATATGTGGCTTTGAGATCCTCCTCTTTTCTTTTTCTTCTTTTTGATTTGATTCTTATTAAAAAGTGGGCGACGCCCTTTTTATCTGACTCAGCTCGGTATCTTTTCCACTTTTCCCTCATTTCCTCGGCCCCTTTTCAAAAAGTCGCCACCCTTTTTCCCTTTTCTTTTCTACCTCAAAATCTTTCCATTTTCTTTTCTTTTCTTTTTTTTTTTTAATTTCTCTCAAGTCTATATTCAGTATTTGTGAAATTATAATTTTGTTCACTCATAGCTTGAATCAGTTACGCTATACTCCTTACAAGTGTTATTTTAATAAATGTTACATATCGATCTTGATCACATTAAAACTGACTCAATATGTTATCACTTGAATTAACTGTTTTGTTCGTTTCCAATTTCATTTCTTAAAGTGACATTTTTTAATATATATATATATATATATATGTATTTCATGTGTTTTATTGTGGATGGAAATGCATGTCGCCTTAAAGTCGAAGTGTTTGACTAGTTGAATGCTTGCTTGCAAAGCAGAAAAAGTAGGCCACTTATAAAAAACACAACGTAAAAGTACAGCAAATGAGTAATTTAATCAAAGCTCAATTTGTACAAGTCATAAACCCTTCGATTTATCAACCTTATCCTTATGTTTGCACTAATAGACAATGGATTATCGGATTATTTATGTGAGCTGGATAAAGTATCATTATCTATTGTAATCATGGTTTTAATTGATGTACTATATATTATGCATATATATATATATATATTAATTATTAAGCAGAGTCTCCAAAAGTCCCTATAGCTTTGAATAAGTTCTCTCTGCTTCTGTTGGTCCATCAATTTAGTTCGGAGTCCCGGCATGTTTGTGAATTGTGATCATTGATTCTTTTCTTTTCGCTTTGATTCACAGCCACAATTCATATTCATGGTTGAGACTTTCCTATACTGAGTAAAACACTTCACAGCACATATACTATATTCCTCAAAAAAGAAAAACTAAGATTAACTGCATTTGGAAACCGAAAGGGAAAGGGGGAAAAAAAAACCTTGTACTCCTCCTGTCCTATAATTATTGTCCAGTTTGTGATTTCGTTTTTAGTTCAAATTGTATTAAAAGTAAAATTTTAAATTGGACAATAATTTTGGGACATAAGAAGTACATAATATGATACTAGTATTAAAATTATTCACCGTGTAAGATTTCTTAAATGTCAAGTTACAAGCGAATGTAAACAAGTAGCAAATGAATCATTATCACCAAAAACGCCCAACGATTGGGATGAAAACTTCCAACATAACAACAAAAATATGGGTTTGTAATTGTGTAATATTTCATTCTATTAAAATTGTGGATAGCAACACATAAACCAAAATATCAACACGGAATTAACATGTATAATAATCTACAATAAGTAAATACTAAATTGAGACAAATTAATTATTGGTTCCAAAAGTTAGAAGCAAAAAACTTTACACAAATAATATACTGGGGGACTTGTAAGTTGCAAGAATATTTTTTGATGGGCAAGCGCAACATCTAGATCTGTATCCGATATTATACTCATGAACATGAATCACCCCACCAACTTTGTCGGCGTAAGTAATTTGTTTTAAGATATCCACACGTTTACAAACTGATCAAATGAAATAAATTTTTTTTAAAAAAATTGAAATGAAGATAAGGTTTAAAACATCTTCCATATAAACCATATTTGGTCGCTGGCAATATAAGATGGTTTGTTTCCCGAGAGGAAGTCAAAGATCTCAATTGTAGAGCTTCAAAATGACAAACTTTCAAATCAAAGAGAGCACACTGATTCGATCATTGTTTTTGTTGGGTGAAATGGAAAGAGGTCAAAATTTTATGTATAAGGGCCAATTGGGTTAACGTTTTGATATTCAAATTTATCACTAATCTGATAGTATAATCAAAATTAATTAACTGAATATGATATAAATCTTTTTCCAGATAGATATTATTGAACCCCAACTATTAATAAAGGGAGACTTTTGTTTTCTTTAAGATCATTCGATGATGATGGTTAGATCAAATTTGGTAAATGTTATCGTTTGTGGCTTAAAATTCATATTGAGCTATTGAAAAATGAAAAACAGATCCTACACCTCAAACTCAAAGTACGAAAGGGGAAGAAAAAGAAGGGTAAGAAATCCAGTAATATTAATAATAATCGAGAGGTGAAAAAAATCGCCGAGGAATTGACGAGTAATTGTTGGCTCACATGGAGCAGCAGGCGGACAAATAAATAAAAACCGCCAACGCCTGGGAGAGAAAAAAAAGGAGATAAACTGACATCATTAAAAACAATCTCAGAGAAACTCATCGCTTTTTCGGGGTTGTACACGTCAGAATGGGCCCCGCCCTCCATAAAAACCCACCCCTTTCAAAAGCGTTCCTAATTTACTAATAAATGTAATCAAATTCTCTGGATTGTACTAGCAAAGTGTGAAACTAACTCTGATCCAACCGTCATCACGATGCCACGTCACATCTCCTTGAATTCAGTAGCTCCACGTAGAAAAAAGCGGCATTGATTTGAGCCTTTTCGGCACCGCTGTTCTGCAGGGATATACTACATATGGTGCACCCCCAGTTTTTGGAGTAATCTAGACCGTACATATCTCATCATCCCGATCGTTGCCCTGATCTATCCAAAAGAGTGTCAAAGACCAAACCCACACGTTGCTGATGTGGCGGTTTTGATGGGTTTAAATACTCCTGAATTTCTGGGTAATAATAGTCCCTTCATTTGAAAATGTAAGTCTTTTTAAACTATACACGTAAATTAAGGAGATGATCATCCAACAATTAATTTATATGTTAAATATCTAATTTGCCTCTTATTAATTATATTAAAACTATAAACAAGCTAATTGAAAATCGATTAGTATCATTTATTGAGAATAAAGTGAAAAAAATAATCATTAATTTACCTAGAATTTGTTAAACGACCTTCATTTTGAAAACATGTTCCAAACTTACAATTTGAAATGAAATGAGTACTAGATAAATACCAGGCTGAGGCAGTGGACTCTAGTTTTCTGTTCAGTGAGTTGGATGGGCTGAGCTTGATTTCTAGATTGGACAATATTGTCTTTTTTTGGGGTGGGTTGGTTGATGAAAAAATGAATCCAATAAACTTGGAAATGGGTCGGTTGTTTGATGTGTTGATCATTTGATGTTCCAAAAAGGAATCCACATGATTTGGTTTCAATTTCCACAGTTTTGTTTTTGCTTTGTTTCTTATTTTGTGATTTGCAGAATGTTGTAAACCATCAAATTTTTTTCCTCCCGAATTGCACGACCCTAACCACTAGGTGTTGTCCTAATGGCCACCAACCAAATTCTTCTTGTGTTAGGTCAGAGAAGGTGTAGGATTCGAATCCTCTTTTCTACACTTCACTTTCTCCAATTTTGACTACTCTCCTTTCTGGTGATCAAATACAATTTGTGCATTAGGCACACTTTGTATACTGTTGTGGGAGTCTCACCCCACTTTGTGTGATGGCAATAAAAATTATAATGTAATGTGTTATCAAAAAAATAAAAATAAAAAAATTGCATGACCCTTACATTCAAAGAAGGCCAATTTATGTAATAATTTATATTATTATAAAATAAACATAAAGAACTATAGAGAAAGAATAATAGAGGGAGAGAACAAGTTGAGAGGCGGAAAGAGAGAATTGATCTCTATATTTCTGCAGAGATTGCTCTCCTTTTATAGAGGAGATGAATACAATGATAAGAATAAATAATGATAACATCTAACTATGATAATATCTAACTAAATATTATCTTTGAACAGTTGATTCTTTGTATAACTCTTCTAACTTGTAGACATCTACATTAAATATTCATAACACTCTCCCTTGGATGTCCATTTCTTGGGATAATGTCTCGTTAAAACTTTTATTAGAAAAAACCCAGTGGGATAAAAATCTAATAAAGGAAAAAGAGTACATTCCCAAATATGACACTGCCTCGTTAAAAACCTTGTCAGGAAAATCCATTGGGATAAAATCTCGATCAAGGAAAAAAGAGTACAACGTGGAGTCACTCCCCTTGTTAAATACATTACTTGTAATCATCTCACTGCATGCTAAAATGTTGACCAGTTTCACCAGTGTCAAAATTTTCTAAAGAGTCACTTCAGCTTCTTATGCAGACAATCATCTTCACATGCCATGTATAATCTTGAGTGCTTTCGAAAAATAGTGATCCATAATCATCGTACACTGAATGTATAGAGAATTATAAACAGACAAACATAACATATTCAGATAAAACATGTATATACACGAGTGCATAAACCAAATATTCAAAAATATGCACCTAAATATTGTCTAAACACATGAAGACACTAGTACTTGTGCAAGTCTTTCGAATTACTTTCTCGAGAATCAGAACCATGTTCTTTATTGAATCCTTCTGAGATTTCACATAGACTTCATTATCAATATCAAGTATCATGTTTCAAGTATCAAATATCAAATGATCACTAATTTTCAATAGACACATTTTTATTTCTTCATTTGCTACCAGATATAGCAAATAACGGAAGAGTTTTATTTCAATCCATAACAAGAGAATATATCTCCCCATGATTAACATCCGGACATTGGAAAAACTTGTGCAACAAGTTGGTTGCTCGTTAATGTTTCGCACAATCGCCCAATGACATTTAGTCGATATATTACTTGTCAAAATTTCTAGTTTCTCAAGCAATTTCATTTTACCTAAACATCTTCAGGTGTGTGTATTGCGTCTTTTCATTTATTATGGCCATAAGTTTAATGTCTGCACTCATAATAGATTTTTATTTCATGATCCTCATTTCATTCATATTACTGACAACTGCAACATAA